CGACTGTTACAGAGACAGTACAGCTACAATACAATTTCCAATCCAATACAGTTTCAGTACAATAGGGTTGGGAGGGCCCTGTTCATAAGAGCTTACAATCTAGTAGGAGGGGCAAGTGATACAAAAGGTAATAATTGTTTAGATTGAGTTATTGGATGAAGTAGAAGGGCAGTTATGTTGAGTTGAGATAGGCTTCCCTGAAGAGATGGTTTTTAGGGATCGCTTGCAGGTGGACAGAGTAGGAGATAAGCGGACAGATTGGGGTAAGGAGGATGGGAGACACTCTGGAGAAGTCCTGGAGGCGAGCATGGGAGGAGATAATTAGAGAGCTAGAGAGCAGGTGGTCCTGAGAGGAGTGGAGAGGATGGTTTGGGTGATATTTTGAGATGAAGTCAGTGATGTAAGTTGGGGCGGAGGTGTAGATGGCTTTGTATGTTGTTGTTAGTATTTTCAATTTTATTCATTGGGTAATTGGGAGGCAGTGGAGGGATTGACAGAGAGGGGCGGCAGACACTGAACGGTTGGTTAGGTGGATGAGTCTGGCAGCAGCATTCATGATAGACTGAAGGGAGGATAGGCTGTTTAGTAGTAGGCCAACAAGGAGGGACCATGACCTTAATTAATGAGAACCTTCACAGACTCAATATATTACAGTTTACCAGTCCATATATGTGGCTGAGTTAGTTTCTGTTTTTCCTTTTTATTTTATTTTTATTTTCACCTAATGATCTTGCCAGTAATACACTTCCTGTTCTTGAGAGTCAACACTTACCCACTTTGATCTACTGTATATATGAAGGAACAGCGTTGTCACCCTTGGGCAGGAAGTGTGTGAGGACTACAGAATACCTCTGTATTTTAGGCTGTATGTGTTATAAACCAGCAGTTCTTCATGTAGAGGTAACCACTGAAGTGTTGAGGAATATTTTAAGTTCCACTGGCCACCTGATCATCAAGAACTGCTGGGTTATAACATATATACATGGCTATCTACAATACAAAACATCTCCAGCATTCAATGCAGCTGTTACATCACTGCACTGTTCCCCTTTGCTTATGACAAACTCTGTCTAATCATAGGACCTTTTCAGCGGTTCATAGGTGGATATATACGTGTATATATACTGTATATCTCAATACATAAAGAAAGAGCAGGCTAACCTTGGAAGGAAGCCTCTAAAAGGTCAAGAAGCCCAGATTCTTGACAAGGCAGATATGTGTGTAAACCAAATGTAACAAACCAAAACACAACAACCACCAAACGCTACTTATAACTAGTAAAGATAAAGCAAACATGGGTGGAGCAATTTACTGGATTGAGTTGGTCAGGTAGTCAGCAAAGAAACTCTCATCACCACAGAATTGTAGGGCTTCTTGGTTCATTTTGCTCCCTAAATGGTCATCCTCGCTCAGTATTCATTTTATCTGACAATTTTTTTTGCTTGGTATTGGTTGATGAGCTCACCAGCTGATTATCAGTGGTCCATAACATGGCGCTGGTGTTAATAGTAAAGACTTGGTCGCGAGAAGCAGTTGTGTCGTAACTGCCAATTTTCACATGCCGCACTGCACCTTCTGGGCTCAGCTGCCAGTTCACAATGTCATAAACTGCTGGCGGGTCTCCATTCTGGTCGAAGTAAAGTTCCCTACCATGACTTAGCTTCACTCTCACTTTCTTCATGTAGTGCAGGAGCTGTAGAGAGGAGGAGCAGACAGATAATAGGTTGCAGCATGGTGTTCATCAAGGTCATACACATAAATGCTGCCTCTTATTATTAATAATAGCTGATGTACAACAATGTATGTTATGTAATAATGGCTTAAAAATTACAAACTCAAGGCAAACAAGAAAAAAACATATGCAGGACGGTATCTGGGCCCTGACACAAGCCTGTCCAAAGTTTTTCTCTAAGTCATTCTTCAGTGTTCTTTTTTGGATCATTGTCAGGAGAACATTGTGCTGGCAAAGACCGCGGTTCGGACATGGATCGAGTGTCGGTTTTGTCCAGACCGTGACTGCGGAGCTGCACTGGGCTTTGGTTGTCTGACAGTAGATACATGCGATCAGTGCATCAGCAATGTGCCTGGGAACACACACCAGCAGCTATGCGTTGTAGTGCAGCTGCTGGTGTCAATGCAGTCTAAATGTGCTGTATGGACAAGGACTGTCTGGACCTCTGCTCGCTGAAAATTTTACTCACCGGACCTCCTTGAATTTTAATTCACTACCCCGCGTCTAGTGTAAAGGCACTCTGTAGGATTGGTTTATATGGTGGGACTATTAGCATAGCCAGCTGATAAACTAAGCCTCCATGGTCCATAGGTACCATAACAGACAATAACTTCACATAATCCTTGCACAGTATCGTTGGACCCTGCAAAGGTTCATATGAATGTTTTGATTCATGTAGATCTAGTCAGTGACACCTCCTACAGTGTCTATGCCTGGGGATTGGCCAAATAGGCACCACTTCCATGTGTGTGTGTGTGTGTGTGTGTGTTGAAGGGGAGACATGCCTAATCCTATGCACATCTAGCTTTATACTTAACTGGGAGACAGGTTTTCATATAGGGTCTATGAAGAGTGTCTGTTGGCTGCTAATCTGAAATATGTAAAAGTGGATATACTTAATAAGGGGAGGGTGAGGGTGGCTGTTCAGGTTAGGTTGTTGGTCCTCTAGTTATTCTTACAAGCACACAATTTAAATTGCAATTCTACCTGCCATGGTTTGAAACCCAAAATGTCTGCACACTTGCTCAGTGGAAAGGGTCCTTCTCCATCCTTGCAGCTTTTTAAATCTTCCAAGGCTTTAGCAATTACATGTACTGCTGTGTAGACATTGTAGGTCGCTCTTAAGGCAGAGACATCATTAAAACTGTTCTTGACGCTTCTCAGGTCTTCCATTCCTGTGCAAGCACTTCTCAAATTCTCCAAAGTCCCAGTCAAGTTTGCATCAATAAATTTGCAGTTGAATGCCTCCTCCCAAAACAACTTTGCCCATTGCCTCCCCAAGGTCATGGACGGGTGGACGTTATTCAGAAACTCTCCAAACTCCAAAATAGTCCCGCTGTAGAAAGTCAAACCAATGGTGCCATTAAGAAGCCTAGAAAATCGACCCTTTGAGAAAAGACTGGAAGTCGACCAGGCTTCACTGGCAACGAACATCTTCTCTGTGATGTTCTGTTTCAACATCTCATCTAGGATAGGAAGAAGATCAATAGGTGGGGAGAAGGCAACTACAACCTTAACTGTTGAACTCTTAATGACGTCAACAATATGTGGGGCGTTGTGGTTGGGCTGGCTGGTAATAATATTCTCAGAAAAGGCCACACATGCTTTGGCTCGGACTAGTGCCTGTCTCACCAGCTGAATCCCTTGTTGACCGTAGTCATTGTCTACTGCTAATAACCCCACCCATGTCCATCCAAACTGCAACACCAACTGAGCAAGACCTTGAGATTGGAAGATGTCACTGGAAACAGTTCTGAAGAAGGAAGGGAATTTAGTCCGGTCACTCAAAATGGGACTGGTAGAGAAATGACTGATCTATTGAAATAAGAAATGAAAATAAGTATTGGGACTTTGAAAGTATTTATCTACTTACTATAGTTACTGTAAGTTTAAAGCTACAATAAGCAGCACTGTGCCTAAGAGCTTACAATCTTATGTGATTAATGCAAGCTTCAGTAGACATTAGTAGATTGGTAAACTTGAATGTCACTGCAACACAAATAATTGTTATTAAGGAATGAGTAAATCTATCAGAGCAAATCAGAACTCTTGGCAAATCGAACTAATTTGCTCAGGGTCGGGATTATTCTAGTAGTAATAGATTGCTTCTTGGGGAAATATGTTTTACTCAAATGAAGTAATTTGAGTAATCTGCTTCAGTCCAGGCTTTCAGAGTAGCAGCGGGCTCCAATCACAAAAGCAGGTATAGTATTTCCTTATAAGGGTAGTGATGTTATCAGGGCCGGATTTCCCACAAGGCCACCAAGGCCCGGCCTCAGGGGAGCAGGGAGTAGAAAGGCAACAGGGGTGTGGAATTCCTATTGCCCGACACCCGAGACATGCAGGTATTTTTTTTCTACATTTAGCCCTGCTTTGGGCAAGCAGAACTAAATGTAGAGCAGGGAAGTTGCCGCTCATTTTGTACACGTGATCTCGGTGATGTCACCGAGATCACTTGTATGTAGCCTGCAGGTCAAAAAGTAAATTGAGAAACCTGGCCTTGGGGCAGCAGAGAGTGTAAATCCGGCCCTGGATGTTATATAGGGAATGCATCTTAGAAGTAAGTCCATTTATTTTCTGAGTTTCTTTTATAGCTTTAGAACATCATATTGAGTTGTGTTAATGTTCTGAAAGCTTACAGGAGGAAAATAACCTTACCACGGTGATAATGCTCATTCACAGTCAGTGAGCAGGTAGGGGACACAGCAAGCTACAAGGGGGAAATGTAGTCAATCATCTGGCAATGCAGTGTAGTACTCAGAGGTATATTTACAAGAAAAAGTGCCCCTGGCATCTTGCCCAGCTCCTAGCAACCAATGTGGTCACTGGTTGCCATGGGTTGGAAGCTGGCCAGTGTGTCCCAGGGTACTAAGAGCTGGACAGGGAGATTTGTAAGGGCCATACACATCTCCCTGCCCAGCTCTTATCAACCCGGGACACTCTGGCTGGCATCACACCTGCATACACATTTACCCTCCCACTCTGGTTGAGCCGAGTGGGAAGATGTGTATGGCCCTTAACCATCTGCCTGTCCAGCAACTAGGGATGCTCTGGCCGGCGTCCCTCCCAGCTCCTGGCAACCAGTGAAATCATTGGTTGCCAGGAGCTGGGTGGGATGCTGGCCAGGGAACCTGTAAGGTCCCTAAACAAATGTAAATGGCACTCCCCTGCAATAGGAAATTGGTATACTTAACTCTCTGGCAACCCATTTCTTCTACCTCCCCTCAATCCAGCACTGCAACCTCCATTAGACTCTTTGTCATTTCACACTTTTAGAATGGACACAGCAGTGATGTATGCTTGGAAGATGTAGCCACGGTGTTCAATGTCAAAGAGCTTTACAGAGGCTACAGCACTTGAACTGTAGGAAGGTTGGAGACATGGGCTACCAGAAACATGAGTGCAATATCTCTTTTATTGCAGGGGATGGCTGTTTGCATTTGCTTAGAGACCTGACAGGGTCTCTTTAATTGCAATGGTCTTCAAGAAGGTCCAATGTATATAAATATCTGATATATACCTGAGGAAATCTGTACAAGCCAAGAATATGTGCCACAAGTATGGAATGTGTAGAAACAGACGGTCCAATCACAGCACTAAGAGGAACCTCCAGAATACAGCGGTAGTTGGGGATGGATGTTTGGCTTCCACTCAGTAACTCTAATGTGCCCTGTAAGTCCTGGTGAAGCACATCGCAGGAATCATAAGCTTGAAATCCCAAGGTTAGATTCGACAGGATACTGGGATTGCTATTAATCTCTTCAACTGCAAACAGTATGGATTGAAATTGCTGATAATTCTCAAAATGGAACCTTCAAAGAAAAAAGGTAAAAATGAAACATGGAACTCCAGAACCTACAGCTAAATACACTTTTTCAAGGCCACCATCAAGGCAGTAGAGGAGCTATTCAAGTAGGCAAACCCTCACCAGGTTTTCAGCATTGGAACCAAATCCCTGCTGTTGTGTTTGAGCCGGGCAGTATCTCTATTCCATTACTCAATAACAACTGCAAAAAGCAATAAATGAAGTACGTTTATTTCATCATTATAACCTGTATCATCATCCAACATGTTTTGGGGCTCTGAAGGCCAAAAATGCACCAGCATCCGGTTTTTGCAGCCTTGCATGCCAATTGCTAGAGCATTTTAACACACAAGAAAATAATTTCCACCCCTCCCTTCCAAAAGGACATCTCTTTCATCCAGCACTTTAAAGCTCTAAAGAAGGAACCACCTCAGAACCACCCATAAGGCATTGATCTGTTGACATGGATTTTTTTTTAAATTAAATAAACTTACTTGGAAACTCACTGATTGAGCACCCCAAAAGGCCAGTTTGTGTGTAAGAGCTTCCTTACTGGAGCTATTGTTCAAAACACAGACTTTTCTCCTCACTGTGAGAGCCAGTGCTTCTGACCAATACCAACGGTACAACCCAGCTGTATGGCCTAATTCATATCAGTGTCAAAACAGAGTGCTTGGCAGGCATTTGTAAACACCAACCAAGTGCCTACAACTTCTGGCCTGGAAAAGCAGAACTGCATTGTTCCAAATCTATAAAATGTCAACAACAATCTTCTGTATATTAAAGGAGAACTATGGGGTTAGGGCTTTTCCCCATAGTTCTAATTAAGGGTTACAGGAGGACACAAAATAGCATCCTCCTGTTACCCAAAGCTCAGTATACCGCGAGCTACAGCTCGCAGTATACTGAGATGCCACAGCCTGGAACGAATCCAGACAATGCTGTCTGGATCCACCCAGCTGCGTGAGTGACAGCTGGCTCTGCCTATCTAGAGGCAGAGCCAGCTGTACCCGACCCCTCCCCCGTCCGTTCCGCCAGTCAGCCCTGGAGGATCACACAGGGGAGGGGGGAGAATCCCTGCAGGGAGCCGTGAGTGACAGTCACGGCTCTCTGCAGGGACAGGATCGAAAAGTGAGCGAGCGGGCCTGTGACAGTTTCATTGTCACATGTCGGCTCGAACTATGAGGGTGAGTGATTTTCACTCGCCTCATAGTTCTCCTTTAAGGATATCTTTCATGAGGGTGTATTCTTATATGCTATTGTTTCCTACACAGGGGTAGGGGGAGTTATTAAAACATTTTAAACTCTATTGTGTGAAACATCTGAATGGTTGTAGGTCCCTTGTGCCCTGCATTCCTTTAGGCAATCCATGTTTATTGCCAGCACTATAGACATAATTTATTGCTGTCCTGCACAGAGGTTGATGTGATTGACCTTGGAGGCCAAGCCTGTTAATATGCTGTATGGATTTATTGACTTATTTCTCAGCTGACTTTACAGTCATAGCTGTGGGATGATCAGAGAAAGTTAGCAGTGAAACAATCTTAGTAATTTACATAAGAGGAATCTCAACAGACTCATGGCTTCTTTTTTTGTACAGCTATGTACAAAAAGAAGAAGCCATAAGTCTGCTGAGATTCCTCTTATGTAAATGGATATTTTTCCTTTCAGGGTCATTAAAAAAATAAAAATACTAGCAGCCATAGGAATTTATTTGGGCAAGCAGGTCAGCCCGGGATAAAAATTATGGCCATTCAGCACATAGGACATATCCACAGCATGAGCTCAAAAGCAAACATTGTGTATGGTAGGTCCACCCCTACTCTCTACTTACATTGTGCAGGTGGTTCCGGGTGGCCTTTCAGTGTAATCAACTTTCTGGTAGACTTTGTCAAGATGGAGAGGCAGCAAAACTCCAAACATGATATCCCCTGGCTGTGTGACTCCATCAAGCTGCGTTATATCCATTCGGCACCTCTGATCCATAGAGTATAATACTAGAACTAAGTGAGGCAGAAGGAGGATCCAGATCAAGACATATAGACTGAACATAATATTTGTGTCAGTTGAAAGACATCTCCTGTTAACGTAATGACAGGTGAATCATATGAAAGGGTCAGTTTACGGCAAACATTTTTTTTTTAAAACAAGTGAGGAAAACAATTATGTAAAATTGTGCGGAATGGTTTGGGTCAATGGAGCTTAAATAGAAAAAAAAAAAAACCTGAGCCATTTGTTTAAAAAAATCTTCCATGGATACTACAATAGAAAGTTGGGTATTGGTGGCACTAGCAGTCAAGGAACAGTTGCGCATGGAACAGCAGATATAGCTGTTCCCTTTGCCCCAGAAGCCTTTTGGAAACCTTTGGTCCCAGAAGCCTTTTGGAAAGCTGAACCATGAAAAATAATAATGCTAAAATTCGGATTTGGCCAAGAAAATTCTTGAAAATGTTTCCAAATTCTGAATCAACTCTAGAGGTCAGTGGTTTTTAAAACTACCAATATTTGAACTATAATTCATTGTTTATGACCTCTCTAATTGCTTTACAAACCATTTTGTGTATTACAATTTAATGAAAAATAACATTTCTTTTCCAGTTTGCAGGCACTCATAATATTCTAAAACTGGCCAATATTGTTTCTTGGTACCAAGCCAACTGTACTAAGTTCCTAAACTGCATCCCCACGGCTCCTGTTATCAACTCACTGATTTTCTCAGAAGCCCATGAGGACTGACAACAGTTACTGCAAACATACACTTGTATTATGGACTACATTTTTGATAATTATCTACTAAAAGCTAAAAAGACTTTTAGATGGATCCTTTTTAGCATAGTGGAAAGGAATTTTTTTATGTATCCAAATCCAGTGAAGTTTAACCTTTTAATGGGATTAACTGTTGGATAAATGTCATTAGAATTCCATTGTCTGTAAACAAGGGATGCTGTGTGAGGACAGAAAGGACATGAAGACGACAGATGAGGTGTGTGATGTACACACTCTCAGCCTCTCCCTGAACAGAGATTGTCCAGCCTGTAGGACAATGATCCAAGCATTGTAAAGTAGTCACTGCTCCAAGCTCACTCTCGTGATGGACTACAATCTCAATACAAATCAGTAATCTAAACATGAGATTGTAGTCCATCCCGTGGGGGGGGGGAGCTTGGAGTGGTGACTACTTTACAACACACACAGGGACCATGGGGAACACAAGTAGCCCCCCTCCAGAAGGAAGGACAATGTCAGCACCAATTCAGAGATGATTGGAGGATCTACAGCCGAGTGATACACAAATATGATACATTTTTGTTTATATTTAAGGTTCTTGAATGTATTTTTTAGATTTAACGCCGGAGTTTAGTGTCACATTTAGGAAAGTCCACCTGGTCTTCGTTAAAGAGTGCAAATAAGTCCAACCTGATGTTGCAAGAATCACTGACCCTCATAAATTAGTTTCAGTCTTACTTAATACTTCAGAGGGAAAAAGAGCTCCCAGCTGCTAGTGCACAAACTTTTTCTTGCCCCTTGGCCAAGGTGTTGCAGAACTGCCCAACCCAATCAATAGATAAGAGGGGTGTGTTGCAGGAGTGTTTTATATTTGCTCAGTGGACAGTCTTAATGCCAATTATCCTGGCCATGTGTTACAAGGTTTCACAATCTGTAAACTAGCATATAATTTAGCAAAATGAAATTATGATTTGTTAGATACCAAATATGACAGGTCTATGTTGTATCTTCCTCTTAGGAAGTCTTATATTCTGTAATATAATATATATTATATATATACTATACTATATATACTATAATACTATAATAATATACTAACCTTCTGGACCTTGTAATATAGTCATGTTCGGTGTTATATCTTTGTCCCCATTAGGGAACCACTTTTTAGGAAGGTTATTCCATTACCATAGTAATTATTGAATATGGATAAAGTTTGTCTATGGAAAGTTCAGCTATAGGTCAGCATAGGTCAATACCCAAGCCTCACAGACATGTATTCCTAACATTGCACACACCAGACCAGTTTTTTACAGGGTCTCATTAGAAATGCTTTTAAGAACCTGAACGAGTTAAGACCTAGGATGCTCTAAGTTCCATCTAAGTAGACAGTTTTTTTTGTCAAATATGCAGTCTTCCACTTCCTCATTCTCCCCACACAGTTTTGGGTTTACTCAGACCTCACTATCATCAAAAGGTGCATGTTCCCTACTCACCATGTATCCCTGTGACTGTCTCATGTGCATGGCACTGCTCCCTTTTATCAGGGATTCTGGTGTATGCTAAGGGAAAATAAACCCTCCATGGTGTCAATCTCGTGACTGGGAATTACAGACTTTCAAAGGCCAATTACACTGATTACTGTATGCGGAGGATAGTGCAAATGTGCATTATTGTAAAAACACGACTGCTAACTGCCAGATGTGACATCAGATGGAATTATCATAAATTTTCAGTAAGTGTTCATTTTTAAGTTTGCCTAAAAGATAACTGATGCTTAAAGAAGCTGGCCTTGAGCATATAGGACAGATATAACAAGCCTATGGCCACACCACCCTGAATGTACCCAATCGTCTGATAAGGGAAGCAGGGTCAGGCAGGTTAGCACTTGCATGGGAGAACAGATATAACAAAACATTTTAATGGTATATGTAACAAACCAATGGTGAGAAAGTACCAAGCAGAACTCTAAGTAGAAGCTTGGGACTGTTCAGGTGCTACCTAAATGGATTTACATAGACACGTGTCTTATTTCAATGTGAAAATTCTCTTTTTTATTGTACATATAAGACAAAATGTATATTAAAAACTACATCATAAAGCTTGGGTACCTATGCTTCCCTTTCCCTGTGGGGCCTATACTCCCCACAAGTCCCCCTACTAACACCACCAGTTAGTATTTTTACAGACTATCATTCTATAATATCTTTGTTATTATTCCTAAGCTGTCTGAGGGGTGAAGGTGAAGTTGAATCGTCAAAATAAACTATTCCTATGGGGAAATATCAAGGAAGCAGATCCCATGGAATTCCCAAGCATGGTACCCCACTGTGGCTACAGCCATAGGAGGGCCAGAAGGACTAGGTGAATAGGTGCCATCAACACATCTGTCTGTACCAGGTTCCCCTTGATTTCACAACTGTTCAGTTTTTCAGTTGTATGTACATCTTTATTTCTATACAGCCAGATAGTACCTACAGTCAAAGTGACATAAGATTCCTCCTTTAGGTTGTCAGATCCTCACATCCATTTTAATATACAAAGATATGCACAGTAATCAATCCATCCACTCCATCCTATTACACCTTTGTTCTCGTTCCCATTCCCACACATTCTCTGATGGTCCATCTATATATGTTTCATCATATAACCACACTTGAGTTAGTAATCCCATACAACATCGCTGGCACTATCTATGGGGCATCTTCTGTGTTACAGACGGGAGGTGGTGCTGAACTACCCCCAGCTTCTCAAAAAATGTTTTGGGTAGGGATGCACCGTTACCAGTTCAGATACCAGTGCCGATACTTGGCATTTTCATGAGAACTACCGGGGGTTGCAGCGGTTGCAGCTGGGACCGGGCTCTGGCGCTCCACCACTGTCCTGAAATCATTAGTCTGTATTGTTTTATAAAAACTGTCACGTGACTATAATCAAAAATGTATCAGTACTTCTATCTGTGAGGACTTGGGCAGGTATCAGTACTTGTACTCGCAAAACTGCAAAACTGGTATCGGCGCATCCTTTTATATATGTTTATAAAAACAAAATCGTACATTAAAACAGAGATGTACAAATCCCAGGAGCTTCGTGTGCTCCTTACACATGACAGCTGCCTCCTAACTTTTGAATTTTTCTCTAGTCTAGTCTTGAAGCTGGAAAAGTATCTGCACTTGTACTTGTACCGAGTACAGTACTTTTTTCTCTGAACATCCCTAGTTTTGGGCGTATAGGTATGAATATATAAAGGGTAAAGACATGTTTGCTGATTACATAAGCATTCTCTGCTTCCTGTTGATCCTTATCTCACCAATACGGTCTCTATTACTGCTGTGAACAATAGACTTTCTGTAGTCTCTAAAAATGTATAACACCCTAAATGTGTGAATTCTCTGCAAATAACATGACACTTCTTATTGGACTGGTCTGATTTTTTTTTCATTATTCTTGAACTTTATTAGTATTTATAAAGTATTTATCAACAAATATATTTTAAGAACTGATGGAAAACAATCGCCTGAATAAATGTCAGTCAAAGTACCGCAGCGCTGAATACTGAAAAATGGCCTGGATGGGAAGGGGGTTTAACACCGCGGATGTCAACTGGTTAATTTGTTATGTATTGTATGTTGTGCATTCAAAATGTTCTGTAGACATTTTAATGAATACAGGTATTAAAGTTAAATTATGTAGACAGACGGTAAGGACATCAGAGAGTATCAGGTGGCTGGAACAAGCTGCTCTGAGGTGTATATATTTTCCAATATTTTTTCTGTGAAAATGGGTAACAGAGACCTAAGAAAGCATGGCAGAGTTATAAAGGAACATTCCATAAGAGTTCTACTGTCTTCTGTCTTTTCTCATAAGATATTCTTTAGAGTTAATGTCAGGTCTGAACAAAATTATGAAACATTTAGGAAGAAACATACAGATGACCAAAGCCCAACTGGAAGCCAAGATAGCAAAAATCTCCATGGCCACCGTGTATTTTCCTTGGGCACTGAGGGATGCTGGGATATAAGATATCCATACACTGAGGAAGGCCAGCATGCTGAAGGTAATAAACTGGGCTTCGTTGAAGCTGTCAGGGAGTCTCCGAGCCAGGAAGGCAACCATAAAACTAATAGTGGCCAGGAGAAAGAGGTAACCCAACATGGTCCAGAAGGCAACAGGGGAGCCCTCATTACACTCAATGATGATGAACATAGGTTGACTTTGTGTGTTGTATTGTGGAAAAGGTGGAGCCATAAATAACCATGTCATACAAAGTAGGAACTGCAGTAAGAAACATACTAAAATAATCATATAGGACACTCGAGGTCTAGTCCATTTCTTTAGAGTGCTCCCTGGCCTTGTTGCCATGAAAGCAAATACCACCATAATGGTTTTGGCCAAAATACAAGAAATGCACAGAGTAAAAACCAAGCCAAATGCAACTTGACGCAGGAAGCAATTCTCAGGTTGAGGGTACCCAATAAAAGCTAACGAACATAGAAAACAAAGAGAAAGGGACCCCAGGAGGAGACAACTTAAGAAAAAGTTGTTGGCTTTTACTATGGGGGTGGATCTGTTACAAGTAAAAAGTCTCAAGATTAAGTTAGGAACTATGGATGACACAATAGCTGTGGCTGCCAAAGTTGACCCTAATGGGTCATGGAAAGAGAGGATCTCAACTCGTTTTTGAAGGCAATTGGATTTTTCCAGATTCGGCCATTCATTCCATGGACACTTGAAGCAATCAAGAGAATCTGAAACAGACAAGAAATAAGGCATTGCTCTATTAATTAGTTTCTGACCTTGTATGAGGAGAGATATTTCTACTCAAGTATTTAAGAGTGGAAATGTAATACAGGGGGGTAACTGAGAAACCACAAATGGGCATATGTATCTATGTATTCTGCTTCTAGGAATGCTAGTTGCTACTCAAGTTCCTCCTCACCAAACCTATCAAACCATTCCCTTATAAAGTATAAAGCTGGCTTTGTTTACAGGAGAACAGTAATGGTGGAACAGGTAAAACAGAAAATGACCTTCACCAACCTGTTGTCACAAGGCTGGAAGAACACAATCAGGACCGGATTTACTCTCTCTTCTGCCCCAAAGCCAGGTTCCTCAATGCACCCCCCTACCCGCCAACCCCCACCCCTGTGGAGAATGGCAGACCTGCAGGCTGCATACAAGTGATCTCAGTGACATCGCCGGGATCACTTGTACAAAACAAACGGCCTCTTCCCTGCTGTACATTTAGCTCTGCTTGCCCAAAGCAGGGCTAAATGTAGAAAACAACTACCCGTCCGGTGCCCAGAACTGCATGTCCCAGGCATCGGGAGATAGGAATTCAACACCTCTGCTGCCCCTCTACTCCCTGCTGCCCCAAGTCCGGGCCTTGGTTGGCCTTGTGGGAAATCCGGCCCCGAGAACCATTGTCTAAAATGTCTATGTATGCTGTACCATTAGCAGCACCCTTTACTGGAAACAACTAAACTCACTTGAATACTTTCTCATCATGGTAAATGGTAATGCTCATCACGTTAAATGCTCTGGGGACCCTCTGTGGCTTTAATACTGCTTTTAGCTTACCAGTTTGGTTTGAGATATCTCCTTGTGGGCAGGGGACACACTGAAAACAGCAAGCAGCCTGTCCACTCTTAGCAGCTTTTCTATATCCTGGTTGACAACTCTCACTGCATACTGACACAGGAACCTAGGAAAGCATTGGAGTTAAAATGCACCTTTAATTCTGGGATAAACCAACAATAAAAAAAACAATTTTGATTAAAAAAAAACAATTTCATTTTTTTTCAGCTATGGAGGTTATCGGTTATTTTGGTAAACACAAAATTCCAGGAAAACAGCTAAATACACATTTAAAACATAAAGAGTACACATGTATTGTTTTTTACCTGCCAAGGGGTATGTAATTCTATGCAGCCAAATTTACATTTATTCTGACACTGTGCAGTCAGAGAGGTGTTTTTAAGTGAATGCCTAGCTGGGTTAAAGGGCTATGTGGCCAAGGTGGACAGGAAAGTATGCCTGGTGTCCACTTTGACATTCCTTACCTTTTGACCTTTTGTGGACCACAACAAAAGGCTTGAGTTAATGGTAAAGACCTGACCAGGATCAGCTGTGGTGTCATAACTGCCAACCTTGACCTGTGTTATACTCCCTTCTGGGGTCATCTGCCAATTCACAATGTCATAGACGGCTGGTGGGTCTCCATTCACATCAAAGTAAAGCTCTCTCCCACTGCTCAAATCGACCTTCACCCTCTTCATATAATACAGCAGCTGTACGATTTATGAGAAAGAATAATGTGTTGCATGATATATTATGTTTACAATGATGTAACAGTTAAAACCCAATTTTATAATTCATACTGTGTCATACACTGGCATGTTGGGAGCATTTTTACCCTTTTTATAACTAGGTGAATCTAATAAACAAGAATAGAGCTTTCATTTAATATTACGGCCCTGGTCTTCAAGGCGGATGTGTAAATCCACCTTTATTCCCTTATATACATTATCTACTGTAAAGAAATAACTGATTGTAACACAATGCCCTTTCATACTCTGGTTCCTTAATGGGAGAAACACCCTTCATTGTTATCACCTGTAAGGAACGTAATGCCAGAATGCATTAATGTGTATCCTTATAGGCAAAGTGGCACTTTACTCAAGGTCACCACTGGACGTGTGTCTGCTCACATGAATGCGCTTGTTCTGATTTGTCTTTCACTGTAAGTACATGGGCGTACAGGTACACCTGATGCTGGTGCCAAATAACTTATTAAGCTTAGTAAGGTCTGAGTTTAGTACTGAATGATCTTCAGTAGTAAAATCTGACCTGCCTCCGGTTTCTAGATAACCTGTTATCTCCGGCTTCCTCTGTGACCTAGAATACGAAGGATTCTTTGCACAACCGGACATGGGACAACTGTTTACTCAGTTCCTTAAAATGATCCAAGATACAGCACTTGGGCATTGAGTCTTGTACTGTTTAATACACCAAGGAGGATGTTTTCCACAGTTTTGTCATTTTCCTGATACTTCTCTGCCAGCAAGATAAACCAGACCATCACCCGGCCATAGTGGATGGGTATGCGAACTAAGATGCACCTGGAGCTGGTTGTTTGTGTTCTTCTCAGACCTGTTTCCTAAACCCAACCTGGTTTGTTGCCTCATTGCCACCAACTTCCTTTTCTTCACCACAGATATGTCTGCTGTATTTTTTTGTGCTTGTTTTCTTTTGCTGTCTGTGCCATGTCAGGGAGATTCCTCTCCTTCAATTCCTGAGCCAGAGGTGTAACAGCAATTGTGAGAAAATGTTCACAAAGTGAGGGAAATCCCTTTCTTTTAGACAGCTGTAACCTTTCTAAAAGAGAGGTATCCCCATTGGAAAATTTCCCCTATATTCATGCTCTGATGAACACCCTAAAGTTTTACATTTCTCATCACTTTTTGTCGCCATGACAATGCTCACTGGGATATTTAGAGAGGGAGAGTCCACCTAACTGGAACACAGACAGTAATAAGACGAGACAGAGATGCTAATCCAAAAGGGAGTCCTACGAAGTGATCTGTTCAGCAGTAAACTCCAAGCAGGAACATCGCATAGCATACATTTAATACATCAAGAATATCCAAGTGGGCAAAATTAGAATCTATCTATCTATCTATCTATCTATCTATCTATCTATCTATCTATCTATCTATCTATCTATCTATCTATCTATCTTTCTGTGTTAAATGACCATCTATTTACACTATATGGCCAAAAGCATGTGGACAACCCTCAAAATGATTAAGCTCAGGTGTTTCCAATGAAAGGTACAGTAATTATACAAAATTGTAGCAAATTGTGCTCTTCCAACCCTGTGGCAACCATTTGGGTAAAGCCTGTTTCTGTTCCACAATGATTATCTCTCTGTGCACAAAGCCAGTTACATAGAGACATACAGTAGTTTGATGAGTTTGGTGTAGAGGAAATAGAGTGATCTGCACACAGTCCTAACCTCAACCCCACCGAACACCTTTGGTTTGCCATTTGTGAGTCAGGTCTTTTCAGCTAACATCAGTATCTAACCTTACAAATTGTCAGAATTGGCACAAATTTCCATAGAGACACTGCAAAATCTTGTGCAAAGTCTTCTCAGAGAAGTTGAAGTGGCTGTTATAGCTGCAAATGGGGCCCAATTCCATATTAATACTCATGGTTTTGGAATAGGACGTGATGTTCAGGTGTCCACAAACTTTTGGCCTTTGATGTATATACTAGAGTGTTAACACATAGTTACCTGCCAGGAGGTAAAACTGTGCATATTTGCACAACTGCCATGAGAGAACGGACCTTCTGCTTTGCGGCAGTGTTGGAGATCCTGCAAAGCTTTAGCCACAGCATGAACTGCAGTGTAGATGTTGTAGGCCACCCGTAAATTGGAGACATCATTGTAGCTGTTCTTGATGCTCCCTAAACTCTCTTCTCCAGTGCAAACGTTTCCTTGGCTTGGCAAATTCTCACCATTTGGAAACTTGCAGCTGAATGCTTCCTCCCAAAATGACTTCACCAAATTTCCTCCCAGGGTCATGTTAGGATGGATCTTGTAGAGATATTCACGAAACCCTGGAATTCCCTCGCTGTAAAAAGCTAAGCCAACTGTTCCGGCAAGGAGATGAGAGAAGGCTCCTATGTACTGCAAAGTAGTTGTGGACCACCCTTCGCTGGCAACAAATGTTTTTCCAGTGATGTTTTGCTTTGTCATCTCACCAAGAATAGGCAGCAAATCAAGACCAGCCGAGAAGACAACGATAATTCTTGCTGTTGATTCCTTTATCACTTTTACTATTCGTGGAGCATTGCGGTCCTGCTTGCTGGTCAAAATATTCTCGGTGAAGGCCACACAGGCTCCAGCCTTGGTTAACTCCTGTTTGACTAGCTGGATTCCTTGTTGTCCGTAGTCATTGTCTACAGCCAGAAGACCAATCCACAGCCAATGAAAGTGCAGAGCTAGCTCGGCCAGGCCTTTGGATTGAAATGCATCGCTTGGCACGGTTCGAAAGAAGGAAGGGAATTTTATACGATTACTCAAGAGGGAACTTGTGGCATAATGGCTGATCTGTAGAAGAAAAGTAAAAAGTGTCTAGAGACTTGTACTCCATCTTCATGTGCTTCAGTTTCCCTAATATATTGAATAAACAATGGAGACAGCAAGCATGCCATATATACAAGATGATGTAATTTTACGTTGGCCACACAAGTGTACTTATTTTAATAACACATAATCCAGAGGGGCTCTTAATTTAAAAGTAAAGGGAATCCTGACTGCTGGAAGCAAGGCGTTGTGAAGGGTGGTCCTGCTTAGTACATATCTAATATATCTAGACACAAGAAAAATGTATTACATTTCAGCACAACAGCCCCTCGCGCCTCAGCGAGCTTGGAGCGGTGACTACTGTGCAACACCCACAGGGACCATGGGGAACAGACATAGCCCCCATCCAGAAGGAAGGACAGTGTCAGGACCGATGCAGAGATGATTTGAAGATCTACAGCCGAGTGATACACAAATAAGATACATTGTTGTTAATACTTGAATACATTTTAAAGGTTTAACTCCTAAGTTTAGTGTCACTTTCAAAACTATTGACGCCTTTGGATTTGCATGACAACCATGACATATAGGTAACAGGGACGTGCGGTCAGGGGAAGCAGGTGAGGCAGAGCCTCACCTAGTATTATGGAGGAAAAAGCTGTCAGCTTAAAGTCTGAAGCTGACAACCTTTTCTCCATTCAGATCAGCTTGTAACAGGTTACAGAGCAGGGAAATCCTCCCTACTGTGTAACCTGTCACAGACGGAGCGCTGCGTGTTAATTACAGGCAGAGCTGCATCCGGGTTTTGACAGCTAGTTAGGTTGCACAGCAGCGGGCTTCCCCACTGCCTGTGTAACCTAACATAGTGAGACCAGAGTTGTCACAGCCTGTACTCTGTGTTAGAGGCATGAGCTCTGTGGATGGTTTAGACCAATGGCAAAGGGCCATTGGTCCAAGCTGTCCATTAAAAAAAACAAGAAAAAAAAACCCACTGAGGACATCGATCTCGATACCTCACCAGTGACTCATCAATGACAACAAGTGAGGGACATGGAGACTCCTACATTTCTCCTCCCATCTTGACTTCCACCCTCCTCCCTCCCTCCTCCACACATAGCTTGGTTACGGATTGGGGACAGGGGCTTTAGCGGGATGGGGGAGAAGATTTAGTGCAATGGGGGTGGAGCTTTTGTGTGCTGGGGCGTGGCTGAAAAATGCTTCACCCAGCATGGAAGGCACCGTACATCACCGATAGGTAACCAATGCAGCCTCCAGATTCTCTCTGTACAGTTTCCCTTTAAATTACCCTAATATGTTTGATAAGAAAGTTTGTTACCTGAGGGTAGCGATAGAGCCCCAGAATATTGGCAACAGCTATAGAGTGGGTGGAGGAAGCTGAGCCAATAAAAGCGCTGAGAGGAGCATTGTGTAGACATTGGTAGTTGGGGATGGCCACATTGCTTCCAGTTAGCACTTGTAGAGTTGCGGCTGTGTTCACAGGTATCACCCCACAAGTGTCATACCACTGGAGACCCAGGGTTATATTGGGTAGAAGGTTCTCATTTCTGTTTATCTCATCTACAGCAAATAACAGGGCTTGAAGCTGCTGGAAATAGCCAAAGTGAAGCCTTGTGGAGACAAAAGAAGAAACCTTTATTAAGAGATAATACTTGTGTTGGAAGGTATAAGTACATGATGTTGGGGACAGGGCCGGATTCACTCTCTCTGGATGTTTATGTGTAAAGTTGGATATCTTTAGCCCAAATGACCCAGTGAGGAAGTCTTTTAGGAGCAGCCCAAGTCTATATCACACTTAAGCTGGAGGTATACAAATGCAGTCAACCTTGGTAAGGGGCAAGCAGGGGTGACTGGGGTGGAATCTCATTCTTATGCAATAGTTACACTAGCACAAAGTGCCACTTACAATGTACAGGTCGGAGACAGAGGCCTGGAAGTAAATGAAAGGTACTGGTAGACATCGGCAACACGAACTGGCAACATTGCCCCCAATATTACATCTCCCGGTTGTACAATGCCATTAAGCCGCATAACTTCCATTCGACACTGGGAGTCTTCACCGTACAAAGGTGGAAGAAAGGGGGTCAGGAGAAAAGCCCAGAGACCGCAGTGTAACCTGACCATAATTTAGGGACTACCTGTAAACAAAATGAACAAAAGGGTAACATTCCAGAAGAACATAAAACATTATGTATTTATGTAGCTCTGTTTTTACCGGGAGAGGTAATTTTTCTTTTCCTGGCTGCCAACTCTCTTTGCACCTAGGACACTGAGCCTCTGCATTAGTGGAAGCTATGGGACCTTCCTTCCTGGCACATTTCTATGGCAGTCCCACCACTAAATTGGGCCTTGTATAGGCCCCCACACCTATGATAACTTGTCTCCAGGTAGTTACACATACTCATATTCTTCACACGAGAGATGCCCAGTCCTCAAATGTCTTTTCAAAGTTTTTTTTCTGGAGAACATGATCTGAGAAAGTAGAATGCCCAACAGACTCCACACGACTCTTACTGATTCTTAGGTTGACGGTCTCTGGACAGAGTTCAGACTTTCCATGCACGAAGCACACTAATGTAGCTTATCATAAGACTTCTGATTGCAGCATTCAGATCAGTGGAGGTTCTTGTTTATACTCCAGTGTCCCTCAGCTATGGTCTACCAAGTAGAAACAGCTCAGTTGAGGTCTTTCCAGATTAAACAGCTTCTTTCATGCATTCAGCCCCAGAGGGTAAGGTCTAGCCCAGCACCCTAGTCACAGCTGACAGCCTGAAGGCAGAAGCTTAGGAAAAACCATTTTGATCAGCATGTTTGTTGAAGCTTGACCGAGCCAGCTAATGGCTCATCAGGGACTGGCCCCCCAACAAACAATCAGAGTTGAAGTGGAATTCTAGTCACCCATGTGTGTTTCAACTGGATATTTGCTGAAGCCATAGTGTAATGCTCACTGCTTGGCTTCTTTTGTCCTATGTTCTTTAGATGTAAACCACCCATCTCCTGATGCGTGTGCACCCCACAGTACACATTTACAGCACTGCTATGGCCCCGGGAAAGAAAAGTACACAACTGCACCAGCATTATGAGATTTTGCATGAGTTCTGCTATAGAATCTTGGGATCCCGGTCATGTGATCCAACAATGGCTAGGTAGTAAGGCAAATATAATGTGCATGCATTGGACATTTCCTGCACGTACCTTATGGGTAAATATTGCTTTGTGAAAGGAAAATATTAAAATTTTTGGAAGAAGAGGCCAACAATTGCAGCCTCCATTTTCCTTCATGGCATACTTTTAATGGATACAGTAAAGCACATTGCTGTGCTTTATAAATGTGCAATGCTTTTGGTTAGGCCTTACCACTGCTTTGTAAATGGAGCCCAAAGAGAACATGGAAACTCCATGCAAAAGGTGCTTCCAATGCTGCCTCCTTACATGTGATGTGCACTTTACACATCTACCCAACCATCTCTAAGTAGAAGCTCTGGGTATTATAAAAGGTAGCTATAATGGGATGGGGGATACATTTTATTTCTTTTTTTTAATCTGATGTTTTATGTAGACAATCTTTATTTTTGCAAAATAAACATTCAATACAGGAACAAGGTTTATATCAATGGAACTCTCTCAGGCATTCAGTCTCTAATGGAAACCTTGGACAAAGCCAAACAGCAGGAGGGGGGTGAGGAGGGAATCATAGCTCTATAAATCTCAGCTTGAGCTATTGAGCTCGGTAGCCAAAATCCTTCTACACCTGGGTCACATGTGAAAAGGAGCCAAGAGCCCTACTCCAGTGATAATCTTTTGTGAATTGACTCTTATGTCTGTCAATGTCCACCAGCCCAGTGTACACTTTGATGTAATGGAAAGAATCACGTCTCTCAAAGATATTAAAAGAAATCTAGACTTTTGTGATCCAGTCTACGGTCTCATACAATAATTGGGTTGCCAAGCTTCTCATAAGAGCCCAATCATTATTATTTGCAGCAAAGTCTACATTAGCCCTTTTTAAGTGATTGGCAATAAGTCAAAAGAATGGAAATAATTGCAAAAACACCAATAATATGACTGAGCTTTCTGAATAAAAAAGATGAAAGGGAGGAGCTGTCAAGATAGCAATGCAACAGATAACATTACTTCATTGTTCTTAGGAGCAGGCTGTGTGGCCACACTGGACTCATGCTTGTCAGGTGATCCATTAGCTCCATGTGATAGTGTCAGTGATCTGAACACCTCCAGGTGGCGCTGGAGCTGAGCCAGCAGTTCCAGTGCTCCCCTGCAGTGAGACTGGGGCCACAGTATGGTCATCATTATCTGAGTCCTGAGTCCTAAGTCCCGAGTTGTTTTGCATTTTAGTTGGCTATTATTAGTTGCGTGCGGTTACTTGGAATAAACTATATACCCATAAGCATTTTCTGGGGTGGTCACACATTTGGTCCTGCCGCATAGATACCTGTATGAGGTGTCAGGATACCATGCATGGGTGTCCCCACACCGCATACCGGTATCTATGCGGGAGGACCAAATGTGTGACCACACCAGACAATGCTTATGGGTATATAGTTTATTCCACACACTGAAAACAAGTAGCCACACACAACTAATAATAACCAACTAAAATGCAAAACAACATAATCACACACAAAAGGTAACAGGGCAAAGGAACCTGGGGAGCAAGGCAACACAAGGGGAGCCACAGACCAATGGTCAGGGTACAAGGAGGCACCAGGACGCAGGAAACAGGACTCAGGAATCAGGTTGTGCTGTTCTGCTGTACAGTTCTTGTCCCTTTCCCAGCCCGCGACTGGACAGTGAAGGTAGAAGCAGCAAACTGAATACCTCCTCTCTCCATCAGGGCTGGATTTACTCTCTCTGCTGCCCCAAGGCCAGGTCCCTCAATTCGCCCCCCTCCCCGCCAATGGAGAATGGCAGACATGCAGGTTGCATACAAATGATCTCAGGGACATCGTTGAGTGGCGGCTAAAGCCGGGCTAAATGTAGAAAACAACTACCTGCCCGGCGCCCAGAACTGCATGTCCCGGTCGTTAGGAGATAGGAATTCCACACCCCTGCTGCCCCTCTACACCCTGCTGCCCCGAGGCCGGGCCTTGGTTGGCCTTGTGGGAAATCCAGCCCTGCTCTCCATCACTCTGCTCTCTCCTTAAATCGGCATGCTCTTTGCAATACAGCACAGCGGTTTGGCTCATTATGCTGCTTCTCCCTCCCCAGTCTAAGCTCTGCTGACAAGAGGCTGATATCAAGTCAAATTAAAGCTTTTGAATGATGTATTAATGTCAGGTAGGCAACCTCAGCGCCCCAGCTGCTGCAGAATTATAAATCTCATAAGACATTGAAAGACTCTGACAAGCCACAGACATGACTCCGGGAGGTAGAGACATGCTGGGATTTGTAGTTTGTAGCTGAGGATGCCTACCCATGTATTAATAAGTACAGAGCTGCATTAATTTGTGTCTCTTTGGAGTTCAGCTTTAACCCCTCTTACTGTATACTCCCCTGGCCCGGCTCTGCACTATATAAATGAGGAAATACATAAGTACTATGCTCTGTATGGAAGGGGGGCTCCCTGGATCTAATGAAAATGCAACATAGAAAATGTGTCAACATCCTACACTTACCATGTAACAATATTTCCCGTTTGTCTTCCGTGCCGATTCCCAGTATATATAGAGAATCACATTAGAATTTCCAGGGGACTATTAACTATGTATCAGCTGTGTCTGCACCCAGCAACACCTCGTATATGGCCAGCTGAGCAACAGTGCCAATGCAAGGGTTAAAATGCAGGTCTCTGCAGGCTTTTCCCACGGGGGAGCCATTATCTATTTTGAGTGTGAATTTGACATCTGCACCCGATACAGATGTAGCCGAACGTCACTCAATAGGTAGAAATCGTCTGTAATCCCCCCGGACTTGCTGCCTCGATAATTCATCGGCTTCTTCACATTTATTTATTGCAGTTAGAAGCATTAGTAAAAAACAAAAAAGTTATTAGATATTATTAAAATAGACTTTTTATTGTTACATAATTCATATTTTTTAATTAAATAAAAAAAATGTAAAAATGTATTTAAAAAGAAAGAAAAAACTATAGACCTGTAACAGCACAAAATACATTTTGTTTTATTTAATTTCCGATCTATTTGGATTTTTATTTCTGGACAGCATCGCCGCCATGTCGTCATGCCTTTGGGCATTACTCTTTGTAATTGGTGCTGGATTTACATTACTTGAAATGATTGGATTGATGTTGGATTTACATCGGGGGCATTGCTTATTTTTTATTTGTTTACTTTGGATCCCGGCACAATTGTCGGGATCCACTTCAGCTGCGGCGTCTCAGTATACCACGAGCTACAGCACGTGGTATACTGAGCCTAGGGTGATGGGAGGACGCTAGTTTGTGTCCTCCCGTTACCCTAAGGAGAACTATGGGGAAAAAAGCCCTAACTCCATAGTTCTCCTTTAATACATTTTTTTGATGGTGTCGGCATTTTTTTTATTTTTTAGCTGGCCTTCAGTCCTATGTCAACAAGTAAGAGGTACATATACGAAAAATATATGTACCTCTTACTTGTTGACATAGGGCTGAAGACCAGGTATCTTGGAATCCCCTAATTTTAAAGAATGCTGCCAGATTCTGATAAGTTTTTTCCCCCCACAGACCAACACATCTGCCTTGACAGGGGGGAAGTTTTGCATCCCCCTGTAAGGTACCCTCCCAATGTTGAGCAATGTGGACTGGTATGGTTCAGAAGGGGAGGGCCGCATGCTTGCCTCCCCCTCCTTTCCTGGCCACCGAGTTTTCATGCCTGCATAAGGGTCAGGTATGAATTTTGAAGGTGACCTAAACCATTTTATATAAGGGACAGTACTCATTGTTTACAAGAATGTGTATTGTCCCCTTGTAAAAAAAAAAAAAGCATCCCATTAAGAAAGATAGGCCTGGAGCTATGGAATTAAAGGGAAAAAGCGCTAGGCCTACATGACAAGAGTGGGAAGGGGAACTAGGGTAGGAACGAGTTAAGGAAAAGTTAGAAAGGGGGTCAAAGGAGGGTCACGTATCGGATTGGAGTATGGTGGATTAGTACGGAGGGAAATCAGGAAGGAGGTGTCTGGGATTTCAGTTGGTGACCGGCAGAAGAGAGAGGTACTTCCCACCTGCCCACCCTTGGTATGGTCTCAGTGTTGTGGTCTGGTTTGTCACAGCTGTGGCTTGGTGGTTTAGGATCCTTGAAGGCATTGGTCTGTGGTTGGTTACCTTGATGGGGGGACCCATTTGTGGTGTGGTTATCCTTCTGTGGTGGCAAGGTCAAACGGTATGACCGGGTAATAGGGACCAATGTGGGTCAGCGGGCAATTGAATTACATCCCAGAGACGGTGTAGGGAGGCTGGGGGCATTCGGGTATAAAAATGTGCCCGCAGATACTGGTCTGTGTATATATATAGCTATACAGCGTTATAGTACCTTTAAGGACCTTGAAACCAAACAATGTTGTATACAGTTGGTTATTGGTTGTTATTGTTATACCGCGAGCTGTAGCTCGCGGTATACTGAGCTTAGGGTAACGGGAGGACGCTAGTTTGTGTCCTCCCGTTACCCCAAGGAGAACTATGGGGAAAAACACTGACCCCATAGTTCTCCTTTAAGGTTGGTATGGGTTTACTTAAAGGAGACTTAAAGTGGACCTCTGAGCTACCCTAGTCAAGAAAAAATCACCAGCCGCAGGTTCAGTCGGGGTGGGCAAACTTGCCAAGTCTTGCCACTGTGTTTGGCTGGTCACCAAAACTGTGAACAGGATGGGTTTGGGTCAAACTCACGCTCAATCCGAGCCCAAAGCTCATCCCTAGTAGTCATTATTCACATTCAGCTGGACTCATTTTGTAATGTTTAACATTACACAGCAGGTGCAGTTGAATGTGACTTACTGCTAATAGCGATACCATACAACAAAAACATTTTCAAAAAACAACAAATGAAGCAACAAATTGAAGCAAATTGTTTCAAGCAACAATGAAACGAGAAAAGGTTGTAGAGAGAAATTGTAGAAATGATATTCCCTTTATTAGGCAGTAAACAAAATCCAAATCAGTAACCCCAAAATGATTATTATTATGTATGTAATATTGCACATTACAATTATTATATTAAGCTAACAAGCAGAGTTTTAGACTACAGTACACATTCTCCAGACTCTCAATTGATTTTTATGCAATTCGTTTTTTTAATGCATTTTTATTTTCTCTACCAGAATTCTGGCACACAGGAATTTCCCCATCAAAATTAATTAAACAAACACCTGCCTCTGTAGAATCACTTCATTGGAAATGTTCCCTGCTCCGATCCGCCAGCGCTGACTGGCAAAACGGATGGGGGAGGGGGCGGGTTCAGCTGGCTCTGCCTCTAGATAGGCAGAGCCAGCTGTCAGTCACGCAGCTAGGCGGATCCCAGCACAATTGTCAGGATCCGCTTCAGCTGCGGCATCTTAGTATACCGCGAGAAGCAGCTTGCGGTATACTGCGGCGTCTCAGTATACCGCGAGCTACAGCTCGCGGTATACTGAGCCTAGGGTGATGGGAGGACGCTAGTTTGTGTCCTCCCGTTACCCTAAGGAGAACTATGGGGAAAAGCCTTAACCCCATAGTTCTCCTTTAATGACCAATCTCAATGGGGAGTTCTACTCCTGAGAACTAAAGAGTCTCTCAGATGTAGGAACCTAAACAACACAAAATGAGAAAGTAAAAAGGTATATAGCACTATAGGATAAAGTATTGTACAGTGAACCCTTTTTTTGTTTTTACAACATTATATAAAAAAAAGAATATGGTGCCAACAGTTTGTTCAGCGCTTTACAACATATGGGGGGACAAGACAATCCCAATACAATACCATACAAAAGGATTAGATGGACCCTGCTCGTGAGAGCTTACAATCTACAAGGAGGGACAAGTGATACAGAAGGTGATAACTGTGAGGGATGAGCTGATTGAAGAAGTCTTTAAGAGGAGGTAGGATAGGCGTCCCTGAAGAGATGAGTTTTCAGGGATCTCCTAAAGGGAGATAGAGTAGGAGATAGCTGGAGAGATTGTAGTAGGGAGTTCCAGAGGATGGGAGACACTCTGGAGAGGTCCTGTAGAAAAGCATGGGAGGAGGTGATGAGGGAGCTAGAGAGGAGGAGGTCCTGGGAGGAGCACAGAGGATGGTTTGGATGATGAGGTGGGAGCTGAGGTGGGAGATGTAACCAGGGGCTGAGTTGTGGATGGCTTTGTATGTTATTGTTAGTATTTTGAAGTTAATGTGTTGTGCTTTTGGAAGTCAGTGGAGGGACTGGTAGAGAGGGTTGGCTGCCACTGAGCGGTGGGTGTGGTGGATGAGGCTGCCAGCAGCATTTATGATAGACTGAACGTGGGATAGCCTGTGTAGAGGTCGGCCAACAAGAAGTGAGTTACAGAAGTCAAGGCCAAAGATGACAAGAGAGTGAGCTTTCTGGTGTCATTCGTTAAAACAAATCTTGGAAATGTTACTTAGATTGAGACACCAAGATTTAGTCAATGATTGGACATGGGGTCTGAAGGAGAGGTCAGAGTCCAGAACTAACTAGCCCGCTAGCATGTGTGGGAGGACTGATAATTGTGTTGTTGATCTCAATGGAGAAGTCAGGGGAGGGGACACGGGGGGAGGACATCATCATCATCATCATCACATCTCCCTTAGGCATTTTCTTTTTGGTGACCCCACTGGAGAGATTATCACTCACTTCCTGTGGTTGCTAGACAAGGAATTGGCAGAGCGGGTAATTGTCACCAAAACAAGAAGGCACAACATATCATACACTATTATCAGAAGTTCTAACAGGTCACCATTCACTCATAGGGTTTATGTATTTTGCAAGAGGGTGGTGGGTTAGCCCCATCTCTCTTCATCAGTGTTTCCCTGGAGTTCATATGTGGTCTAAACAATATGATGAAACATTTAGGAAAGAACATACAGAGGACTATAGCCCAACTGGAAGCCAAAATGGCAAAGATCTCCATGGCCACTGTGTATTTGCCATGAGCACTGAGGGATGCTGGGATATAAGATATCCAGACACTCAGGAAGGCCAGCATGCTGAATGTGATAAACTGGGCTTCGTTGAAACTGTCGGGAAGTTTCCTAGCCAAGAAGGCAACAATGAAGCTTATAGTGGCTAGGAGAAAGAGGTAACCCAACATGATCCAGAAAGCAAAAGTAGAGCCTTCATTGCACTCAGCAATAATGAGTTCTGGGTAAATGTGAGTGCTGTACTGTGGGTGCGGAGGAGCTAGAGACAGCCACAGAATGCACAAGATTACCTGTAGTAAGAAACAAAGTGTTGTAATTGCGTAAGCCACTCGAATATTGGTCCATTTCTTCAGCCTGCTCAATGGTTTGACAGCCATGAATGCAAACAACACCATGATTGTCTTAGCCAAGATACACGATATGCAAAGGACAAAAGTCAAGCCAAATGTAGGCTGGCGTAGCAGACAGCTCTCCCTGTTGGGGGACCCAATGAAAATCAAGGCACTGAGAAAGCACAGTGATAGAGATCCGAGAAGCAGGCAACTTAGAGAATAATTGCTGGCTTTCACTATGGCGCTGTGTTTATTCTTTGCTAAAATTTTGAGAATCACGGTTGGAACCAAAGAGGACCCGGTGCTGATGATCGCCAAAGTAAGTCCAAGGTGATCTTCATAGGAGAGGTAATCTATATTCTTTTGAAGACATTTCGTTTTCTGATGGTCTGGCCACTTATCCCAAGGACACTTGTAGCACTCAAAGGAATCTGAAACATGAACCAAAAGAAACCTTTTGTATTGAATTGTATTGCAACTGTACTATCACCCTGTTGGCTCTATATAAATTGCTATTTAATAATACAATAATTGATTATTTACATAATGTCACGACCTACTGAAGTGGAAGTGTGATACTGTCACATACACAACTATCTGGACCATGGATAACGAGTATTCAAAGATCCTTAAACAAGTGTTGAACATTTGAGTAAATAGCATTCTGGAGATTTCCAGGAAGTGTCAGCTCGATCCCTCCACTGGCTTCCAATAGCACAACACATAAGATTCAAAATGCTAACAATAACATACAAAGCCATCCACAACTCAGCCCCTGGTTACATCTCCAACCTCATCTCAAAGTATCACCCAAACCATCCTCTTTGCCCTTCCCAAGACCTCCTGCTCTCTTCCTCCCTCATCACATCCTCCCATGCTCACTTTCAAGACTTCTCCAGGGTCTCTAACATCCTCAGAAACTCCCTACCACAACCTATCCAACTCTATCTACCTTTGGGCGATCCCTGTAAATTCACCTCCTCAGGGAAGCCTATCCCACCTCCTCCTAAACACTGTACTACACTGTAACAGTTTTCAGTTATGGGGAAAAAAAACTTCCCTAGCTGTCCACTTCAGGTGTGGCTGAACATACCTGAAGCATAGATTAGTATCCTACAAGTGGAATCTAGTGTAGATAATACAAAGTAATCTTTACAATTAGGTTGCTACTTCTGTCTGTGGGCTGAGAGAGGTTTAGGCATGCTCTGGCATTTTGGATTCACCACTACCTCCCTCCTTCAAGTTATTTTATTAATAAACAGTGTACAGGATGCCACGAATGGGTCCTGGAGGGAACCTATATTTACCCACTGTTTAGGCAATGGTCCCTTTAAAGGGATGTTAAAACAGGTTTGAAATGGAAAGGGTTAACCCACTGGCTAGCAGTGGTTTTAAAGAACATAGGCAGTCAGCCTGCAGTGGTCTGTGAGGTGTGCTGGAAGCTGGACACATGGCTGTGCTAAGCTATGGACTGCTGATTGCTCAGACACTGCTGCTGGGCACCTGGGCCTGTGTTGCAAACTCCTGGAGCCGGCTGGGACTATAACCCTGGTGTTTGACAGACTTACTGAGACAGTGAGCCACTGAGTATTTGTACTGAACAGAAGTGTTATTTGTTTTGCTGAAGACAAGCTGTTTTATTTGACCAGTTTTTAAAAATAAAGACTGCTTATTAAGTTACGGCTGGCTATTGATCTCAACCGCCCTAAAGATTACAACAGTTAAAAGTATTGATAGTGATTGGCACTCCAGTTATTTGCACTCACCATATGCGCAAGACTTAAGGTGCCCATACACCTGCCGATTATCGTACGATAGATAATCGGCAGGTGTATGGGCAGTGTGCAACCGCATCTACTGTACGGTCGCACGACTTTCGTCTTCCTAGCACGCTGGAAAACCCGCCGAAAATCGTACGATTTTTGGCGGGTTGGCGGCCTGGTCAGAAGACGAAAGCCGCCCGGGCCGGGCCGGGCACTGCCCGCTCAGCATTGCAATCATCGGCATGCCCTCCCCTCAGCGGGGAGTGCTTGCGGTGATCGCAAGTACGATCTGCCTGTCCAAGATGGGCAGGTCATACGAAATTTTAATTACCTTACAACCATCGCACAACGAAAGTCGCGCGATGGTTGTTAGGTGTATGGTCAGCTTAAGATCTACATGCTAACATCAGATATGTGGATTTAGATTGATGTAATGATCAACCGTGAGTCTACTTCAGTTTATGGTTGTAACTTAACAATGTATCTCAGGTCTCTGCAGCGCACACCTGCCATAATCATGAAGGTTTAAGTAAACTGCTTGACATTCAATCTATGCACAATTTGTATGATCATACCCAGATTTAATTCTGTCCAATTTTTGGACTTACTCTTTCTCACTTCACTCCAGGAGACCCATAGCGCTCACTATTCTAAAACTATTCTAAGACATTGCATCTAAAATAAGTTTAAGTATAATGATCACAAATATCAAATTCCTAATAAAAATAACAGATAATAACAGTACAAAACCCACTGAAGTGGTTTTTGTACTGTTATGGTCTGGACACTTTTAAAGCCCCACTTTTCTTTATCTTTCTTGTATACATTTCAAATTGGGGGTGTGGTGCCTATCCCTAATGGTTCAATTAAATTTTTAATGCGTTAAACTTCTAAAACCTGACACTACGCCTTGAAATCAAGGATGTTCTGCCAACAAAGGGAACTGTGTAATATTATGCTTAGAAATGCCCAATACATTAAAATACTCATGTTGCGAAATTTAGTAGCTGCTCATAAATAAAATAAAATGGTCACACCTGATTCTCTCCATCCGCCCAGAGGATAGCACTTTTGTTAATAGTGAACATTGCACTTGGAGTTGCTGCAGTGTCATAACTTCCGACCTTGAGCCATTGTATGCTGCCCTCTGAGTTCACCTGCAAGTTCACAATGTCGTAGAATGCGGTTGGGTTTCCATTCTCATCAAAGTAAAGCTCTCGGCCATTGCTCAGTGTGATTCTAGCCTTTTTCATGTAGTATAAGAGCTGTAAAGTAATAACACTTTACAATGTACTTTATGTAATGTTTTCCTGAATGAAATAAAAAAAATGTTATGAGCTTGAGCTAAAAATTTTATTTTTATATTGTAGATAAACCAAGTAGGAAAAAAACCCTCTTCTGAGTGGTAAATGCTTTTTATGTCCCTATTGAGTATTTCCCATTGCTTCCAGTTCTGACGCCCATCACCAGGACAGAAGGTGAGAAGCATTTTCCCAAAGGGAACACAAGAACTAGTCAACACCTGGCTGTGGTTCCTATCCTTCCCAGCTCTGCTTAGAGAATGCCTTAATCGATGCCTGTGTCCCACCTGGAGAAATGTCCTCCCACTTACTGTTCTTTCATGTATACAGGACAGAAAACAAGGAGATTGCTGGGCAACAATAATGATGACAACAAAAAAACTGTACAAGACTGCTTATATTTTGTCACGTTGTCTATCATTAACAACACAAACAAACATAGTATTAGCATAAATTAGCATTATTATGTTAGCATAATTAGTTAGCATAAATGGGTGAATAAATGCTTTATGTATTGGATTGTTAACTAGGTGTAAATTATATAAAATCCACTTTACCACTAGTTTGGTCTCTGCACTTTATACCTGAGGCATTTTTTTCTTTGGGGGACAGAATAATGCCCAAAACATTCGCCACCACCACCCATATATATGTACATAAAAATAAAATTTTGGACTGTAATATTACCTGCCATGGCTTCCTGTTCCTAATACCTGCACAACCGGCATTAAGAAATGGTCCTGCGCCTGGTCTACAGCCTTCAAGATCGCTTAATGCTTGAGCTATGATATACACTGCTGTGTAGACATTGTATGGAATTCTCAAATTGGATACATCATGGTAGCCATTCTGGGTTCCATCCAGAGACTCTCTTCCTGTGCACACTTTACCCATCACGCTTGAGGAGTTTCCATACGTTTTTGTAGCTCCGAATTCACAACTGAAAGTTTCTTCCCAACGCATCTTCAACCAATTGCTTCCCATACCATTGAAAAGGTGAAACTTGCTTAAAAAATCTTCAAATCCTGGAATCACTCCACTGTACAGGGCCAATCCAACCGTGCCAGAGAAAATTTTATAAACCTCTGCTGTGGCATAAAATGGGGATGTTGACCAACCTTCACTGGCAACGAATGTTTTCCCATCAATCTTCTGCTTCAACATTTCTTGCACAACTGGAATCAAGTCAGGTATTGTGGAGAAGATAATGACAACTCTGGCTGAAGACTGACGAATGACCTTAACTATGTGGCGAGCGTTGCGGTCAGCTTGACTTGAAAGAATGCTTTCGGTGAAGGCGATGCAAGCTCCAGCCTTGATAATCTCCTGCTTGATCACTTGAATACCCTGCTGACCATAGTCATTGTCCACAGCCACCAGGCCTACCCAGGTCCAACCAAAATATAACACAAGCTTAGCCAGCCCTTGAGACTGAAACAAATCGCTGGGAACCGTTCTAAAGAATGATGGAAACTTTTTGTGGTCACTTAATAGGCGACTTGTTGCAAAATGGCTGATCTAAATGAAAGACAGACCAGTTGTTGTTTATTTACCAGACCCACACACTTAGCAGGTGGAAGGTATTAGCATCATGGTCAACTGTTTATCACATTAGCTATGCAAGTCTGGACGCTAAGGGAAATCTCCCTAATTAGACATAGATGGCCAAAAATAAACAAACCTAACAGTGGCTTTAATCTTTCTTTACTGTATCAAAAATCAGAAAGAAGCTTTCACTTTAGATGCACTTGAAGTATTCCAGAGGCAGTTGCTATTTAATGCTTTACTAAACTGTTACTATTAATTTATGTTTTGCCTTACCTGAGGGTACCGGAAGAGTCCCAGAACATGAGCCAGGAGAATAGAGTTGGAGGAGACGGCTGCTCCAATAATAGCACTATCGAGAATATTTTTAAGGCATCTATAGTTGGCGATGGCTGTGTTTGATCCCGTCATTAGCTGCAAAGCACCCTCCAAGTCATTCTGAAGAACATTACATGAGTCATAGACCTGGAAGCCCAAAGTTGTGTTTGGTAGAATATTGTAGTTATTGTTGATCTCTTCCACTGCAAATATCAATGCCTGGATCTGTTGATAGCTGTCAACATCAAATCTGCAGAACCAACAAATACAAAAAGAGGGGGGGAGCTTAAAAGGAATGTATACTTTTCAATTTTTTAAGCATATTTCCTATTATTATTATTAATAATAACAATAATATTATTCTTATTGCTGTTATTATTATTGTGCTTCAATAATAAGAAATGTATTTAAAATCAAGAGATATAAATAATTAATATAATATATACCACTTGTAGCAACATGTTTCCTGGTGCACACATACAAAAATAAAAATAAAAAAAATACATGCAGCTGAATGGCTCAGAGGAGGGACACTAGTAGAGACAGAAAATTCTTAATTCGATTTACCCAACATACATGCAGGTGCTTTTTAATCTCTGAATAGAAAGCCCAGCATGTTTTATAATTGTTATATTGTTGTTACTGAGTTCTTTAGGCCATCTGTGCTGCTAAAGGTAACAGCCAACAGGATCGGTGTTAGAGTCATGCAGTTTCTGCAAAGTATCAGCATACTGCCAGGCCCAGTACCAAATTGAGAGGCAGAAGCATAGTCATATAGGCAAGAGGCAGGTGGCAGTCAGAATTATGGTCAGACAGCCTAGGGGTCAGGGCAGTTGGGAGACAAAATGGTTGCATTAGTTTTCTTTTTTTATCAGTCTTCCGTTCCTATGTATATTCCCTGTCCTAGGATAACAACATTCAGGCACTGCAATGTACCTTTGGAGGAGTGGCATTGTCACCCTAGGCTGTTCACTCCCAAGGTGAATGTACAGAAGCCTACCTTCATAGACTAGGCCTGTCATACTAGGTGTCACTGGGATGAAACATTAGCGCAATTCTCCCCAATAGAGAGGTAGGCACCAACCTAAAGGAGGTTCTAACCTTTCAGCAGCTTAGCAGAAAGAAAAAATCTTTTTAGTTCTTTTGATCATGTTAGTGTCGTCATTGGAGAGATTTCTCTCAGCTCCCGATCCAGTGATAGGCAACTGAAAATCTTCCCAATGAGGGCACAGGCATCATTATAAACCTCACAGAGTTTCCAGCTCTTCTCAGCCCTGTGCCAAATTAAAAAAAGGATTTGAGTGGCGCTGAGCCAAAACCAAATTCGCTGAACGCTAGAATATCAATTTTAGATCTCTCAAGGACGTCATCATGCCCACTTACGTTGCACAGGGAATCTTTGGAGGTCTCGTGGTGAAGGAAACATTTTCATAAACTCTGTCCAAATGGAGTGGGACAATGAATCCAAACATGACATCTCCAGGTTGTGCCATTCCTTCCATGTCTGATGAAGTAGACAACACACATCTCTTATCTGTAGAAGATGTGACTGTAATGAGGTTCAGCAAAACTAGGGACCAGATTGTTGTGGATACATTTACCATTTTCTTCCAATATAGGAAAACGCAACATATCACAATAGCCATTTCCCCAAAATGCATTGGCAACCAGCAATGTTGTCTTCTGTTGTGTTTTCTTCATGCACAGCGTAAGGTCGAGCTGCAGATGGTAAGCCTGGTTTTAGACAATTTTCATTCAGCAGAGATTGTAACGTTTCCCACTAAGTATATAAGATGTTTAATGTTATATTGTAAACATATCCAGTAGATTGCACACCTTAAAACATATACCATGTCTCTTGCAACAATCCAGCACCTCAGGTATATCCAGCACACTTTCACATCACAACACAGCAGCTTTAATTCCACCACTGTAAGATGCTGAGAGTAAGAGCCCAAGATGGGAATAAAGTAGTTCCAGAGTGCATGTGTCACAGATCAGCTGCAGATCTGATCTGTGCTTCTCTGCGTTGCATTTGTTTTACCTCTTTGCTGCTGTGGATCTGCTGGCACCTGTGGTTCCACTAGCATGTGCTATCCTCTTGCTGCACTGTTAGCAGCTATGGATGTCGCCCACTTCACCTGACTGTTAATATACCCTTCCTCCCTGCTTATCCTGTCTTGCCTCCTATCTGTCTCCCTATTTAAATCCGTCTCAGAACAGCTTCTGGTTGCTTGAGCAACACTTGTTCCTGAGCCCCTTCCGTGCATTCTTTCCTAATCTGATTTCCCGTGGACTGATCTCTTGTGTACCAACTTTATATATATATATATTGTAGCAGTGCATGGCAATGCCACAGTGTCATTTACTGGGAAAGAGCTAACTTTGAAGTTCTTCCCAGGTTTTCTGGATTTGGCTTAGGTTCCTGGAACTGGGAGCATTGGGAGGGATGAAATCTCCATTCCTGGGTCCAGACTTTAGTGGTGATCAGCCCCTGTGCACAGCCCTTATGAAACAGATGCTGGTTAATGTTCAGTGTTCCACTCGGGAGACAGAGGAGGTCTCTGTGCAGGAGTCTGGAGGGCCCCACCCTGGAACCAGCCTGTGTGGCAATACACCTGTGTGGTGAGGACCAGCCGGTGTGACTGTGAGGGAAACGGTTGTGACTAGTCTGAGAAACAAACAGACAAAGATAGAGGACCAGTGGGTTCAAACGGCCAGATGCTGAAGGTAAAATCCAAGAAGCCTAATTGGTGTTTTCGCTGCCAGGACTGTGTGTACTCTGTTTGAAAACCCCTGCGAGGAAAAAACCTGTGTGGACTTTTGAGTGTTTGAATCAATAAAAGTGGACAAAGAAGCCCTAAAAAGAAGACTTGAGTGAGTGAAGGTGTCCTTAATGTACTACTGTTTAGAGCAAATTCTATCTATCTATCTATCTATCTATCTATCTATCTATCTATCTATCTATCTATCTATCTATCTATCTATCTATCTATCTATATATCTATCTATTATCTATCTGTCTGTCTGTCTCTCTCTCTATATATCTCTCTCATTCTCTCTCTGTCTCTGTCTCTATCTGTCTACCTGTCTTACCTGTCTTACCTGTCTACCTGTCTTACCTGTCTTACCTGTCTTTTCCTCTAATTGTCTCTATTGTTGTTTATTCCTCAGAGAGACTATTGTTGAGACGATGGAGACGATGGAGATGTCAGACGACACAAAAAGGAGGTATTTTTTTTGTAATTTAGATCCTCAGAATTTCTATAACTTCCAGCTCAGCCGGCCATACACCAGTAAAAATTAGTGGAAGAAATTAATTTTCATTTGGTCAATTTTCTAAAAGTAAATGGGGGTCAAGTTGACGATTGTTCTCCTTCGCTATCTAATCTATCGTCTATCTATCTATCTATCTATCTATCTATCTATCTATCTATCTATCTATCTATCTATCTATCTAGCTAGCTATATTATATGTAAGCATAACATTAATCACAGTCTATATAACTAAAAAAAGTTGCAAAAAAGTCCTACATTATATGTTTGAAGTGTATACACTTACATACCAGGATAGTCACTTCTATGAAGGTTACATCAGTTGGATTGTCATGGACTGATTGCAATACAATTCCTCAAGACACTGAGAACACACAGAGGGAGCACACAACAATTCAACACAAGAGAAGTCGGTCTGAACGTCGGCAGTGTATCACATAGCAATGATATGGATATGTGTCGCATTGTCATACTTCCTCTCTTCTGTTCTAGGCACAATGGAGCAGAATGAGTTGTTTTTAATGTCCCACTTATCTTATATAAGAGGACGGAAGACGGCTTAAGGGAATCAACAAGACACGGGGATTGCCTGGAGGATTCATGAGGACAAATGTATTTAATGAAATGTGCAGAGTTTCCCCATGTGTGCAGTCTTGTACATAAATATATATGTGAGCGGTTTTGGAGGTGTTATAGAATATTACAAATTAGCAACATTATAATTTCCATCCTTTTATATACATTTGTTGTTTATAAAATTGAAAACATTGGGCACACAATTACAAAAGAATGAAGTTACAAATAAACAGGACAAGGGGCGTAACTAGAAATCACAGGGCCCCATAGCAAAATTTTGTATGGGGCCCCGTGATTTCTAGTTACACCCACCTGATACCCCCCTGCAGCCCACCTGAGAATGACCCTGCAGAGCCCACCATAGACTCTCTCTAAATATGGTCAATATTCACTCTCGCTGCTGCCCCAATGTTAGGTTCCTCAATGCACCCTCCTACCCGCCAAACCGCCCCCACCCCCCATGGAGAATGGCAGACCTGCAGGCTGCATACAAGTGATCTCGGCGACATCACCAAGATCACTTGTACAAAAAAAGTGGCGGCTTCCCCACTGTACATTTAGCTCTGCTTGCCCGAAGCCGGGCTAAATGTAGAAAATAACTACCCACCCAGTGCCCGGAACTGCATGTCCCGGGCATCGTGAGATAGGAATTCCACACCCCTGCTGCCCCTCTACTCCCTGCTGCCCCGAGGCCTGGCCTTGGTTGGCCTTGTGGGAAATCCGGCTCGGTGAGTGGGTATTGCAGAGGGGTCAGGAGTGTGAACTCAGGAGCTGGGAGTGCATAATGCATGTGGAGGGGTCAGTTGTAATTAATGCACAGGACAGTCTACACAATACAACCATGGGTAAAAAAAAGAGGATTTAAGAGTAGACATGTGCAATTTGTTTCGTACCTAATTAAAAATCTGACAAATTTTTGGACATTCGGATGCATCCGAATTTCTGAATGAAAACATTTCAAATCCAAGCGCATTGGAATTTTCGATAATGAAGATTTCTGATGCATCTAAACTTTTTCCCAAATGTCATTCTCAATGAATTTTTCTTCCTAAAAAAGAACAGTGTGGGTTTCCCTCCCCAATTCATAACAGACCCTTTAGGTCTGGTGAGAATCTTAAGGGGGAACCCCAATGCCAAAAAAATTTAAAAAATAGGGTCCCCCTTAAAATTCAAACCAGACCCTTAATAGTAAAAAAAAAATTCACTTTACAGTACTTTATCCTATAGCGCTATATAGCTTTTTATTATTATTATAATTATTATTATTCAGGATTTATATAGCGCCTACAGTTTGCAGAGCGCTTTTATAACTTTTTACTTCCTTATTTTTGGTTGTTCAAGTAATTGCAGTAAGTGCTGCAAAAGGGGCCCAAACCAAGTACTGAGTACATATGCATGCTTGTACTTTTCAGAGGTCCGATATTGTTCTATGTACAATCCTTGTTTTATTGATTGCATGTAATAATCTACTTTTTTGGGGTTGTGGATTTGGGGTTCTTGGGGTTTTCATGAGCTGTAAGCCATAATCATCACAATGATGACAAATCACGGCTTGAACTATCTTGCTTTGCATGTAATGAGTCTATCTCATATATTAGTTTCACCTTTTAAGTTGCATTAGTGAAATAAATGAACTTTGCACGATATTCTAATTATTCGAGTTTCACCTGTATATATATATGGCTCACATGTTGACCTAATGAAATTTTTTTGTAATACATAATACACAAGCTGGTGCTGTAACGGGCTTACCTGACCTCCGGTTCCGGCGCGGCTCGGAGCTCTGTCGAAGCCTTCGTGACATCAGACGTGACGTCACGAAACTTGCCTGGCGTTCGTGCTGGCGTTATGATGTCAAAAAAGGACAAAAACGCAGTATTGCAGTGTGCAATGATACCTTTCTTATTGGACTAACAAAATATATAAGAGACAAGCTTTCGAGAGTGAACCTCTCTTCTTCAGGTCAGAAGCAATACTGATCAACATGACAGTTTGTCAGTTAAGACAGGAGAAAGCTGTTAGAGTGACAGTGACACCTGTCGCTCTGATGAAGGATCCCTGTGCGGACCCGAACCGTTAGCACCGTATGACAGTATGTGACATTGGGTATTGAATAAACATATCAATACTTTAAAGGAGAACTATGGGGTCAGTGTTTTTCCCCATAGTTCTCCTTAGGGTAACGGGAGAACACAAACTAGCGTCCTCCCGTTACCCTAAGCTCAGTATACCACGAGCTACAGCCCGCGGTATACTGAGACGCCGCAGCCGGAGCGGATCCCGACTTAGATGACGGGATCCGCCCAGCTGCGTGAGTGACAGCTGGCTCTGCCTATCTAGAGGCAGAGCCAGCTGTACCAGCCCCGTCCGTTCTGCCAGTCAGCGCTGGCAGATTGGAGCGGGGAGAGGGGAATCCAGCCCCTCCCCCTGTCACGGCAGAGAGCTGTGACAGGATCGAGAGGCGAGCGAACCCGGTATGTGTTCGCTCACCTCCCGATCTACTGGGCCGACCTGTGACAGTCTCATTGTCACAGGTCGGCTAGAACTATGAGGTGAGTGAAAAGCACTCCCCTCATAGTTCTTCTTTAAAGATTTCTTTAAGTGTGTGCCGGTGAATTACTTTTATTTTACTATCAGTGTTTGCACGGCGCCATCCGTGTGGTCACCTGGGCACCACATATACTTTATGGTCTTTGGCAGTGTGAATGGGATTTGGGCTTTGTCATGTATATATGGGTCACAATGTTGCCGCTACGAATATTCGGCCGACCAAAACGTGATCCAGTGCGTTCCGGAAAGCACTGTGGCTGGTGTGAACGAGGCCTTACATGTATATACACTACACATTAATAGGTGAAAAAAAGGCTTAAAGGGATATATATCAATGCTTACATAAATATCTTTAAATATTTATATTTATCATGGCCGAGACCAAAACAAAAACAAACATTTTGAAAAAGTAACAAGTAAAGCAAAATGTTTCAAGCAACAATGAAACAATAAAACGATAAAATGTTGTAGAGAGAGATTGTAGAAATGATATTCCCTTTATTAGGCAGTAAACAAAATCCAAATAAGTTACCCCAAAATGAATATCATTATGTATGTCATATTACACATTACAATGATTCTATGAAGCTAACAAGCTTTAGACTACAGTACACATTCTCCAGACTCTCAATTGGTTTTCATGCAATGTGTGTTTTTTGAATACATCTTTTTTATTTTCTCTACCAGAATTCTCGCATACAGGAATTTCTGCAAAAATTAATTAAACCAGCACCTGCCTGTCTAAGATAATTTCTTAATTCTCAACATCATTAAAGATCCTTTACATTCATATTCCTCTGTAGAATCACTTCAATGAAAATGTCATATTTAAATGACCAACCTCAAAGGGGAGTTCTACTGCTGAAAACTAAAAAGGCTCAGTTGTAGGAACCTAAACAACACAAAATATTAAGGAAGCAAAAAGTTATAAAAGCGCTCCGCAAACTGTTGGTGCTATATAAATCCTGAATAATAATAATTATTATAATAATAATAATAAAAAGCTATATAGCGCTATAGGATAAAGTACTGTAAAGTGAATTTTTTTTTAATAACTTTTTTTAGTTTACTTTATTTTTATTTTAGTACTCAGTATTCCAAGTTGTTTTCAAAACTGATAATACCATAAAAAATAAAAATAATAATAATAACAACAAATATTATTATTATTCATAATTTATATAGCGCCAACAGTCTGTGCAGCGCTTTATAACATATTCGGGGACAGTACAATTACAATACAATTCCATACAAAAGGATTAGAAGGACCCTGCTCCTGAGAGCTTCAGAACAATCTACAAGGTGGGGCAAGTAATACAGAAGGTAATAACTGTGAGGGATGAGCTGATTGAAGGAGTGGATGTACAGTCTTTAAGAAGAGGTGGGGGGGGGGCAAAAGCCTCCCAGGTTAAGTTATGCCATTCTGTGCAGACCCAAACATGAAGGAGGCATGGCCTTGCCATATGTACACCTTTATCATGCAGCTGCCCACTTGGCTGGTGTTCTTGATTGGTATCGGCATCGTTCCTCCAAGCTATGGGTCGACCTGAAACAATCAGCACCGCTGTCGGGCTTTCCTTGGTGTTCTGCCTCCATTCCCCGTTCCATTCAAACACATCCGACTAACAAGCCTGTCACTCATAGGGTTTATGTATTTTGCAAGAGGGTGGTGGGTTAGCCCCATCTCTCTTCATCAGTATTTCCCTGGAGTTCATGTGTGGTCTAAACAATATGATAAAACATTTAGGAAGGAACATACAGAGGACTATAGCCCAACTGGAAGCCAAAATGGCAAAGATCTCCATGGCCACTGTGTATTTGCCATGAGCACTGAGGGATGCTGGGATATAAGATATCCAGACACTCAGGAAGGCCAGCATGCTGAATGTGATAAACTGGGCTTCGTTGAAACTGTCGGGAAGTTTCCTAGCCAAGAAGGCAACAATGAAGCTTATAGTGGCTAGGAGAAAGAGGTAACCCAACATGATCCAGAAAGCAAAAGTAGAGCCTTCATTGCACTCAGCAATAATGAGTTCTGGGTAAATGTGAGTGCTGTACTGTGGGTGCGGAGGAGCTAGAGACAGCCACAGAATGCACAAGATTACCTGTAGTAAGAAACAAAGTGTTGTAATTGCGTAAGCCACTCGAATATTGGTCCATTTCTTCAGCCTGCTCAATGGTTTGACAGCCATGAATGCAAACAACACCATGATTGTCTTGGCCAAGATACACGATATGCAAAGGACAAAAGTCATGCCAAATGTAGGCTGGCGTAGCAGACAGCTCTCCCCGTTGGGGGACCCAATGAAAATCAAGGCACTGAGAAAGCACAGTGATAGAGATCCGAGAAGCAGGCAACTTAGAGAATAATTGCTGGCTTTCACTATGGCACTGTGTTTATTCTTTGCCAAAATTTTGAGAATCACGGTTGGAACCAAAGAGGACCCGATGCTGATGATCGCCAAAGTAAGTCCAAGGAAATCTTCATAGGAGAGGTAATCTATATTCTTTTGAAGACATCTTGTTTTCTGAAGGTCTGGCCACTTATCCCAAGGACACTTGTAGCACTCAAAGGAATCTGAAACATAAATGAAAAGGACATGTGACATTTGTAAGATTTTAGAAGTTCCTGTGAGCAGGGCCCCCCTAACCCTCTTCTATTGAATTGTATTGCGACTGTAGAAACTTTTGGACGATTTCCTGAGGGACCGTAATATTCAGGGATACAAGTATTCCTAAGAATTAGATGATACCCTAAATACTATGTAACTATGTAACTGTACTATCACCCTGTTGCCGCTAAATAAAGTACTGTATAATAATATTTTGTATTTACTGTATATGGAAATCTGTCAAGACCTACTAAAGTGGAAGTGTGATAATGTCACATCACAACTATCTGGACCATGGATAATGAGTATTCAAATATCCTTAAACATGTCCACACAGGGTTTAGAGCTGACCAGTGCTGTATTTACTATAAGGCGTGTGGTGGCCAGTGCTCAGAGCAGCAGGCTTAGAGGGGAGAGCAACAAGTCTAAAAATGTACATAATTGTGATGACTTTTTCCCCATTTTTCCCCATCTTCTGACCATTTATGAACATTTGTGGATAGATTCTGAGAAAGGTCTATGGGTTGGGCTGATTTGGTTTTAAACCATTGTAATAAATAGCATTCTGGAGATTTCCAGGAAGTGCCAGGTCAATCCCTCCACTGGCTTCCAATAACACAACACATAGCAATTAAAAATACTAACCACAACATACAAAGCCATCTACAACTCTACCCCTGGTTACATCTCCAGCCTCATCTCAAAGAATCACCCAAACCGCCCTCACCACTCCTCCCAAGACCTCCTGCTCTCTAATTCCCTCATCACCTCTTCCCTAACACAACTTATCTGGCTATCTCCAACTCTGTCTGCCTTAAGCTGATCCCTGAAAACTCACCTCCTCAGGGAAACCTATTCTACCTGTACAGCTTTTAGTTATGTAAAACAAAACCTCCTTAGTTGTCCGCTTGTGGTCATGTGTAGCCACAGGACTGAAGATATATGAAGCATATTAGTACCCTAGAATTGGAATCTAGTGTATATAATACAAAGTAATATTTACATTTAGGTTGCTACTTCTGCCTGTGGGCTGATGAAGAGGTCTAGCAATGCTCTGGCATTTTGGATTCACCACAAACTCTTTACTTCAAGGTATTCTATTAATAAACAATTAATAGTATTGATAGAGATTGGCGGCCGGTTATTTGCACTCACCATATGCGCAAGACTTACCCTGGGATCAACCTTGAGTCTACTAAATCTTAAGGGCATTACTTAAGAATGCATCACATGTCTCTGCTGTGCACACCTGCCATAATCATGAAGGTTTAAGTAAACTGCTGGACATTCAATCTATGCACAATCTGTATGATTATACCCCAGATTTAATTCTGTCCAATTTTTGGACTTACTCATGTTTGTACTTAGCTAATCTGTGCTTATCCTGATGATCAGTTTGCTATATTTGTTATTGTCAGTCATTGCTTTGTCTGCCCATCTAGAACCTAAAATCTGCTCAGGAATAGTTTGTCTCCTCCTTATCCAATCACTGGCCTATTTACTCTGCCACTGTCTTCTCTTTGCTTTGTTATCTGTTGGAGGACTTACCCCATTTTAGCATCTGTCCTGCTTATTAGTTGGTTGTCACCCTCTTATAGATATAAGAGAAGGTTTACAAGGAAAGGTTTTTTTCTTCATTTGGCAGGAATAAGTAGGGAGTATGGGTGACTGCTATCCAATAATAGAGATAAAACTTACCTGACTGGTTGGAAATCTCTCCTTGAGTACAAGGAACACATTCGAGGCAGCAGGCTGGCTTTCCTGTTTTGGCAGCCTTCCGAAATCCTGGAGGACATCTTTGACTGCAGACAGAGACGGGGACCTGCATCTAAAGTGAGCATTTAAAGTTCAGCTCCAGCTAAAACTATTTTTTAGATAAAGTGGGAAATTGTTGGAATCTCTATCGACTTAGCTGTCTGAATCCCCATTTCTGTGATTTTACATTACTTCCTGGGCAATCCTTTGGAATGCTTGTGTCCTTATGTCCTCTAACTGCCCGTGTGGGTGACATGTATCAGACAGAAAATAAGTAAGGGGAAATCTCTGAAATCAGCCCAAGCCGGACAGAGCTCCTTGCCCTTCTCACTTATCCCAAAGTCATGTGACTGGCTGTCTTAGACTATTAGGCCAGTGGTTTCCTCTGCAGTAAGCATTTTATGGCTTTTGCTATTTATTTATTTATAATAAGGGAGCTGGGACAAGGGAGGGGTCTTATTTGACTGTTGATTCGCTTGGACCCAATAAACCAGAAAGGGGAAAAAGACAAAGTAATCTGGGCATGTCTATTCTTTTAAAGTCCATAATCCTTTTAGCTCATTCAGTGACTTAGACCCATCCATTGGGGGTGTTGCTTCCATTTCCCTAATTCACAAACCTCCACTTTGTAAGTAAAATGGATCCAATGTAGATTCCACAATGGGGATTAGGTGGTGGGATACGCTGTGATGTCACTTGCAATACAAGGAAGTATAAGAGCCAGGCATATGAGATTATAATGAGATCCCATTGGGTCCTGCACAAGCATGGACAGGAGGTTTCACACTGGTTCACAAAAATCATGTATGCGTTGGTGATCAGTGAGGAACATTTGCAGGGTTATTCACTAAAAGGGTGTAGAGTTTGGAGAAGGCCGGAGAAGGGAACAATCCAGAACAATCTAGGACAACATAGCTGAACTGGAAAGTGAGCTGAATTGGAGAATTTTAATAAATCAGCTATTTTGGTCTAGATTGTTCACTTCTCCGACCTCCTCCAAACTCTTCACCCTTTTGTGAATAACCCCGTTGATGTACACTGCCCTAATTTACTACAACTCTGAGTTCAGGCAAACACAGAGGCTCATCAAGCATAGCAGATAAGAAAATATTGTCAATGGCAATTTAGAAAACCATAGACTATGCCTTGAAATCAAGATTTTTTTCCAACAAAGAGAACTGTGTAGAATTTTGCTTAGAAATGCCCAATGCATACAAGTGACACTAAACTCTGGAGTTAAATCTTAAAAATACATTCAAGTCCCTTAACTATTAACAAAAATGTATCTTATTTGTGTATCACAAAGGAGGGGGAAAATGTGCCTGCGTCTTATGGAGCGAATACCTATCGCCCGACGCCCGGGACATGCAGTTTCGGGTGACGGGTGAGTAGTTTTTTTGTACATTCAGCCCTGCTCTTGACAAGCAGAGCTGAATGTACAGTGGGAACCGCTGCTCTAATCAGATCACTTGTATTAAATTGAGCGACGGCGGCGATCGTGTCCGCCCCCCGCCGTGGTTTTCGGGTTCCCCTATTCCAAAATTTAGTAGCTGGTCATAAATGAATAAAATTGTCTCACCTGGTTCTCCCCCTCCGCCCAGAGGATAGCACTTTTGTTAATAGTGAACATTTCACTAGGAGATGCTGCAGTGTCATAACTTCCGACCTTGAGCCAGTGTATGCCGCCCTCTGGGTTCACCTGCCAGTTCACAATGTCGTAGAATGCGGTTGGGTTTCCATTCTCATCAAAGTAAAGCTCTCGGCCATTGCTCAGTGTGATTCTAGCCTTTTTCATGTAGTATAAGAGCTGTAAAGTAATAACATTTTACAATGTACTTTATGTAATGTTTTCCTGGATTAAATAAAATGTTTTTATGAACATTAGTTTTAACTTGAGCTAAAACTTACTTGGGATAAACCAAGAAAGAAAAAAAAAACTTCTACTGATTCATAAATGCTTTCTATGTCCCTATTAGGGAGTTCCCATGACGTCCAGTTCTGACACCCATCACCAGGACAGGATGTAAGAAGGATTTCTACACACAAGATCTAATCAAAACTTGGGTGAGGTTCGAATCCTTCCCAGCTCTGCTTAGAAAATGCCTTCATTAATTGTCTGTGTCCCACCTGGAGATATTTCCTCCCACATACTGTTTTTTTCTTACACACACATGACAGAAAGCAAGGAGAATGCTTCCCAATGAGGACAACAATACAAACTGTACGGGCTTCTTACCTTTTGTCACTTTGTCTATAACTAAAAAACAAACAAAAAACGTGTTACCTGGGGTTGTAATAAAATAGGAGAGTTGATTAGATGGGATGGAGAAGAGCGTCTGTATGCCTTGTAAGTTGTGTATTCTATTCCATAAATGGATGTGTAGCCCCCTCACCTTCTGTGATGTGGCTACTAGACACTTAGTGATAGCCAGGGCTGTAGACAGCCTGGCTGGATTTGTAGTGGCAATTACATGGTTAATCCCAGGTGTCTATACCCCCCTGGGTGGAGTGTGACTTTGTCGTATTGTGGGACAGCCAATGGTGGATACTGTAATGTATGTATTGTACAGCAACCAATCACTGGGCTTTTCTCAGGACAGAGTGTACATATATTGGTGGGAGCTGCCATGTGCTCTCTTTCACCAGGACCAGCCATGGATTAGGGCTGGGTCCTGTTCAGCCTGCCCCCCTCCAGGCTAGGCCGAGGCCTGGGGGTGTGTGTGTATGGGCTGGTGCGAGGAAAAAGGTTTCCCTCACGCCAGCCTGAGACTGAAAGAGGAAGAGAACCGGGACCAGTGCAGGCTCTTGAAGTACCCTGGAACTAAGTGGACTTCAGAGCATGGTCTGTGTTTTTCCTGATTGAGGATCTGCATCCATCCTATCTGTCTGTCGCATCAGTGGTTATCTGATGTCTCCAATATCCATTTTACCATTTTTTTGGTGTCTTTTTTTTTTAAGCATGTCGTTTTCATTGGATTTACAAGGCATGAACAGCAAAAATTATTACAATGGTATAGGGGGATACAATCCCGCCTTGTTGGAAGCACACATTAATCACCCGGTTTGGTATAGTTTGGTGTCTTCACTTTATACCTGAAGCATTATTTTATTTAGGGACAGTATAATGCCCAGACAATTCACCACCCCCACCCAATCCTCTTTTGCACTTATCGAACAGATCTAACAGAGTGCTCAGTGTATGTAATAGACCAAGTGGGAGCAAATAATTGAAATTCCTTTTTAGGGTTTACATATATTTTATTTACAATATATTGCCATGTGGCGCTGAATTACAACAGTCAAGAAGATACCTTTCTGGACTGGAATATTACCTGCCATGGCTTTATGTTCCTAATACTTGTGCAACCAGCATTAAGAAATGGTCCTGCACCTGGTCTACAGCCTTCAAGATCGCTTAATGCTTGAGCTATGATATACACTGCTGTGTAGACATTGTATGGAATTCTCAAATTGGATACATCATGGTAGCCATTCTGGGTTCCATCCAGAGACTCTCTTCCTGTGCACACTTTACCCATCACGCTTGAGGAGTTTCCATACGTTTTTGTAGCTCCGAATTCACAACTGAAAGTTTCTTCCCAACGCATCTTCAACCAATTGCTTCCCATACCATTGAAAAGGTGAAACTTGCTTAAAAAATCTTCAAATCCTGGAATCACTCCACTGTACAGGGCCAATCCAACCGTGCCAGAGAAAATTTTATAAACCTCTGCTGTGGCATAAAATGGGGATGTTGACCAACCTTCACTGGCAACGAATGTTTTCCCATCAATCTTCTGCTTCAACATTTCTTGCACAACTGGAATCAAGTCAAGTATTGTGGAGAAGACAATGACAACTCTGGCTGAAGACTGACGAATTACCTTAACTATGTGGACAGCGTTGCGGTCACCTTGACTTGCAAGAATGCTTTCGGTGAAGGCAATGCAAGCTCCAGCCTTGGTAATCTCCTGCTTGATCACTTGAATACCCTGCTGACCATAGTCATTGTCCACAGCCACCAGGCCTACCCAGGTCCAACCAAAATATAACACAAGCTTAGCCAGCCCTTGAGACTGAAACAAATCGCTGGGAACCGTTCTAAAGAATGATGGAAACTTTTTGTGGTCACTTAATAGGCGACTTGTTGCAAAATGGCTGATCTAAATGAAAGATAGACCAGTTGTTGTTGTTTTTTTAACAATAATTGTTTATTGAGAAACAGGTCAATCATAAATGACAATAACAATCAAATAGGTATCATATTAATCTCACATTTCTGGCATTTTACATAACAGAAAAGGCTTATCCACACATTCAATAATTTCAATAACAATGCTCATTTCCGATTAAAGTATCGTGCCAGGCAGTTTGGGTAGGTATGGGACATTTACTGAGACCTTTTTAAGTTAACAACATAAGAATAACCCAGAGAAGAAAAGTAAAGAAATGGAAGACAAGGAAAGAGTAATAGACATCACATTTCTGTGTGTCCATTAGAAGGAGGAGGGACTAAGGAAAGAAAGAAATCAGGATGTAAGAAACATATATTCTTTATTGTGTACTGGCGTCGGAGCTAGCTCTCTTCAGCCTGGGTCCATAATATTTCAACCATACTCCCCACAGATGTTGGAATTTATTTTGGGACTGGGTTCTACAGGAGATTACTCTCTCGTATTCGCATTGGGAGTGTACTTTCGAGAGAGTTTCACTCAGGTTAGGGACCGTTACCGATTTCCAATAACTTGCTATCAGTAATCTGGCCGCAAACAAGAAATGCATCACCACTGTCCTGAACTCTACAGGATATAGTTCAATTCCTACGCTAAGAAGCGCAAGCTGAGGGATCGGAGTGTTAAGGATACCCGTAATTGTTGCTAGACATCTGAAGACTGCATTCCAATAGCTCCTAATAGACTTGCAGTACCAGAAGGTGTGTAGCAGGCTACCAACATTTCCACACAGTCGCCAGCACAGTGGCGAGGCGTCAGGGACACTGGCTTCAGGGAACATCCTGGAGAGTCTATAGGGAGTCAGATACCATCGGAGAAGAAGCTTCTGGGATACTTCCCGATGATTGACACATTTAGAGTGTGAGGAGTTAATGGCTAATTTCCATTGGTCATCAGTAAAATCAGAGTGCAGTAGACCAGTTGTTGTTTATTTACCAGACCCACACACTTAGCAGGTGGATGGTATTAGCATCATGGTCAACTGTTTATCACATAAGCTGTGCAAGCCTGCATTCCAGGCTGAACCCCTCCAGGGAGTCTGTCTACATAAATATTGTACTTTTTAACTAAATGCATTTTTTACATTTGGATGGTGATGAGGGGGTCAGAACCGCTGTCAGGTTTTTATTGCCGCCAATGTCCCTGTTTGGGAAATTTACCAATTTCATTGGGAATAAAATTGAGGGTAAATCCAATATTTTGAGTTGCAACCAGAATGGGGATAGTGGGGAAACCTTCCAATTGTTCTGTCTAATAAGGGGTTTTCGTCTGTTTGGAAAAAAACTCCTTTCACTTCCTGCTCAGTCTACAGGAAAAAGACACTAAGGGAAATCTCCCTAATGAGACATAGACGGCCAAAAACCTAACAGTAGAGATGCACCAATAGCATTTTTTTGCGGACCGATTACGAGCACCAATACTTTTCCTCAAGTACTCGCTGATACCAATTACTGATACCTTTTTTTTAGTGTCATGTGACAGTTCTTCTAAAAAAATACAGAGTAATGATTTTAGGAGAGTGTTGGAGCGCCAGGGCCTGGTCACAGCTGCAACTGATGCACCCTTGATAGATCTGCCACTGACTCCAAGCTGTAAAGTGACTACAAATATCAGCAATATATTATACAGCAATGCAGAATACAGCCAGCTATAGAGGACTACAAATCCCAACAATACTTTATACAGCAATGCAGAATGGCTCCAGCTATAGAGGACTACAAATCCCAGCAATACATTATACAGCAATGCAGAATAATAGCATATGAATTTGCTACATACTCTGTGCTACCACTATGCTCTGGGGTGCCCACCTGATGTCTTGAGTGGAGGGTCCCAGGAGGGGTGATGTGCAAGAGAGAGATGTGCAGAGGGTTTCAGGAGGGGGAAATGTGCAGAGGGTCTCAGGAGTGGTGCAGAGGGTCTCAGTAGAGGGGGATGTCCAGAGAGTCTAAGGAGGGGTATATGTGCGAGCAGGGGAAGCGCTGTAAGCATGCGCTGCTTGGTTTCCAAGAAGGCTGCCACGAGGTCCCCAGCAAGTGCGGGACCTAAGGCAGCTGAATCAATTTGAAAAATGAAAGTCCCGGTATTGTTTTTTTGCGTTGGGGCATTTCCATGAGTACTCGTGAAAATGCCCACTATCAGCACCGATACAGGTACTGGTATTGATTGGTGCATCCCTATCTAACAGTGGTTTTAATCCTTCTCTACTCTATCAAAAATGATAAAAATGTTTTTTCTTTAGAGGTACTCCTGAGGCAGTTACTATTTAACTTGATTACTCATTATAAAATGATAACATTGTCAGAAGGCCTTACTAAACTGTTACTATCCATTCATGCTTTGCCTTACCTGAGGGTACCGGAAGAGTCCCAGAACATGAGCCAGGAGAATAGAGTTGGAGGAGATGGCTGCTCCAATAATAGCAGTATCCGGAATGTTTTTAAGGCATCTATAGTTGGCGATGGCTGTGTTTGATCCCGTCAGTATCTGCAAAGCACCCTCCAAGTCATACTGAAGAACATTACATGAGTCGTAGACCTGGAAGCCCAAAGTTGTGTTGGGTAGAATATTGTGGTTATTGTTGATCTCTTCCACTGCAAATACCAATGCCTGGATCTGTTGATAGCTGTCAACATAAAATCTTCAGAACCAACAAATACAAAAAGGGGGGAGGTGGGAAGGGAATGTATATTTATTAAATTTTTTACACATATTTGCTATTATTATTATTATTGTTCCACGGATCGGGCGGGTAGTTGTTTTCTACATTTAGCCCAGCTTTGGGCAAGCAGGGCTAAACGTACAGCAGGGAAGCAGCTGCTTGTTTTGTACAAGTGATCTCAGCAAGGTCCCCGAGATCACTTTTATGCAGCATGCATACAGGGGGGCACATTGAGGAACCTGGCATTGGGGCAGCAGAGAGAGTAAATCCGGCCCTGGTCACGAGTGGAAAAAGTTTAAGAAAGCCTGTGCTAGAATATTAATTTCAGATCTCTAAGGGACTTCATCACTTACGTTGTACAGGGAATCTTTGGAGGTCTCGTGGCGAAGGAAACTTTTTCATAAACCCTGTCCAAATGGAGTGGGACAATGAATCCAAACATGACATCTCCAGGTTGTGCCATTCCTTCCATGTCTGATGAAGTAGACAACACACATCTCTTATCTGTAGAAGATGTGACTGTAATGAGGTTCAGCAAAACTAGTAACCAGATTGTTGTGGATAAAATTACCATTTTCTTCCAATTTCTGAAAGGGCAACATATCACAATAGCCATCTCCCCAAAATTGATTGGCACCGAGCAACGTTGCCTTCTGTTCTGTTTTCTTCATGCACAGCGGAAAGTCGAGTTACAGACGGTAAGCCTGGTTTTAGACAATTTTCATTCAGCAGAGATTGTAACGTTTCCCACTAGGTATATAAGATAGAGGTTTAATATTATACTGTAAACATATCCAGTAGATTGCACACCTTAAAACATATACCATGTCTCTTGCAACGATCCAGCCCCTTAGATACATCCAGCACACTCTGGAGGCCCACTGTTGGATCATGTGACAACAGACTGTTAACTATTTTGGAGGTCGTTTTGAAAAAAGCAAAAAAACTTGGGTAGTGGTAGGAAAGGAGAAAGGGGCTACATGGACTTCAGATTTTACCTAGACCTTGTCTTTAAGGAGTACAGGCAGTCCCCGGGTTACATACAAGATAGGGACTTTAGGTTTGTACTTAAGTTGAATTTGTATGTAAGTCGGAACAGGTAAATTTTTTAAGTGTAACTCCAGTCAAAACATTTTTTTTTAGTTTTGGATAGCATAGGGAAGGGTCACGGTTCTTTTGCTGTCTGTTCCTGTTGTTCAGAAGATTATAATATAATTAAAACATTTTTTTATTTAAAATGACAGCAAAAAAAGTTTTTTTCTATTTTTCATTTTCTAAACTTTATTTTTTATTATTTGTTTGCATTTTTAATTTTTATTTATTTAACTTTTTCTTTACTTTTTTTTGTCCTTTTAATTTTAATTTTTAATTTTTGTAAACTTTTTTTATTTTTTTTGTATTTTAATGCTGGGAGCCATAGCCAGCCGGCTATTGGATATTTCAAATTGCAATAGCCAACAGCAGGCTGGCTATTGCATCTGCCCACTGCCTGCTGTCAATCAGCAGAGGAGGGGCCTGAAGCAGAAAGTTCTCTAGCAGGTCCCTCCATGCTGATTGACAGCAGACAGTGGGCGGGTTCAATAGCCAGCTTGCTATTGCATTTTACAATATCCAATAGCAGGCTGGGTACGGCTCCCAGCCTGCAATGAAGAGTAGGCAGAGGGGCGGGGCAGAGGAGCCGCAGCCGGACCAGGAGACCGGAGGATCTTCCTGACCGGAGAAGCCAACGGAACGGCTGAAGAGGAAGCCGGCACATCAGCGGAGGTACGTGGGGCATCGGCGGTATGCAGCAGTCTGTGCCCCCCGCTGCCTCCGCCAACACAGGCGCGGAGAGCAGCGGGGATTTGAAAGGACACAGGCCACTGCAGCCACAGTTCTCCTAAATGTACTGGCGTGGACCCCGTTCCTAAGTACGGATTGTCCGTAAGTCGGACGTCCGTAACCCGGGGACTGCCTGTATTTGCTTTTACACTGCTCATGTGCCACCATTTATGATTAACCATTTATATGGAAAGTTGTGGAATTAAATATTGAAGAAATATTAAAATGGAAGAGACACTCATTGGTCTTGTATTAAAGCAACATAAATAGATTATATTTGGGCAGCACAGCGGTGTAGTGGTTAGTGCTTCTGTGGCGGTGTAGTGCTTACTTGCAGAAGTGACCCCGGCAAGGTCACTATCTGCAAGGAGTTTGCATGTTCTCCCTGTGCTGGGTTTCCTCCAGGTACTCCAGTTTCCTCCCACACTCCAAAGACATGCTGGTAGGTTAATTGGCTCCTGTCTAAGTTGGCCCTCTATGTATGCATGTGAAATAGGGATCTTAGATTGTAAGCTCCTGTAGGATAGGGACTGATGTGAATGTGCAACTATGTAAAGTGCTGCGTAAATTGTCAGCGCTGTATAAATACCTGTAATTAAATAAATATTTATGTTGCTTAAAGTGACATTAAAGGCAAACATTTTTTCCCTCACCCCAACGTTAATTAAAGCACTTACCTTAAATTATGTCTTTTAATCCGATCTTCTTCTTCTTCTTTCCTTTAGTTTTCAGCCTTCTCTCCAGCGCTGCGGTGAATCTCCGATCCAGCGCTGACTCCTCTGTGCTTGCTGGCACGTACTCTCCCACGGTGTCTGCATGCGGGTGCACGCGTCCATAGACTTACCTTGTGTCTTTCCTCGTGTCCCGGCCGAAATTATATATATATATATATGCAAAAAAAACAGAGGGTTTAGAAACCCTTTAAATACAAGATCCTTGAGTGCCTTGAGAAAGGTGGGCTGCGACCCTCTATAATATGGGTATAATAAAACTTACAGATACATATTTATACTGTATGTGAAACAAAAATGTTGCTTCATTACAAGACCCATGAGTGCCTCTTCTACTAGACCATTTGTATCTACTTGCCTTCAGTGCACCCAAGCAGTTTTTATTCTTATCTAAGTGCGGTGACCACCAATGAACTTTTTGTACTAATACCCATTTAGAGTTTATATAAACTATATTTAAGAATAACATTAAAGTGACATTAAACGCTAAAAATCTCTCCCACCCCCCACAGTGCTAAAGTAAGGACTTACCTTAAATAATGCCTCTTAATCCTGTAGTTTTCAGCTGTCCCTCCAGCACTGGTGCGGGTCTCTGATCCAGCGCTGACTCCTCTGTCCTCCTCTTCGCTCATGTCCCACGGTGTCTGTGCGAGTGCACGCTGCTCCATAGACTTACCTTGTGTCTCTCCTCGTCTCTCGACCGAACAGCTAAACTGTGCATACGCCCGCCCCAAAATCCTTTGCGGCCACCCGAGAAATTTTCATATGTTCGGACGGGAGCGCACGGCGGGGGGGACACATGTGAGTATTAACCCTTTCAAAAAGTTGTTTTTTTTTAAATCGTTTAATAACCCTTTAATCTACAGTCTATAACTGCAAACAAGAAAGTTACACAAAAAAAGTCCTACATTTTACATTTGAAGGGTAGATACTTACATACCAGGATAGTCAATTCTAAGTCGGTTACATCAGTACTCAGGCGAGTTGGATTGTCTTGGTTTTTTTTGCGATTCAATTCCTTAAGACAGAACTACACTTCAACTGAGAACACTTAGAGGGAACACATAACAATTCAACACAAGAGAAGTCGGTCTTAATGTCGGCAGTGTATCACATAGCAGTAATATGAATGTGTTTTGTATTGTCATAGTTCCTCTCTTCTGTTCTAGGCACAATGGAGCAGAATGAGTTGCTTGTAATTTCCCACTTATCTTATATAGAAGGGAGGAAGACGGCTTAAGGGAATCAACAAGGCATGGGGATTCCCTGGAGGATTCAGGAGGACAAATCTATCTAATGAAATGTGCTACACGTAAAGTTTCCCATATGTGTAGTCTTGTATGTAAATGTATATGTGAGCCGTTCTGAAGTGTTTCAAAATATTACAAATTAGCAACATTATAATTTCCATCCTTTTATATACATTTGTTGTTTATAGAATAGAAAACATTGGACACGCAATTACAAAAGAATAAAGTTACAAATAAGCAGGAAAACCACATACCGTATTAGGCACCATTCACACGGACGTCCCTGGACTCTGGATAGAAACGTCCAGCGACAATCGTCTATCCCAAACCGCATGTAATCGTACCGTAAGCATGTTCCAACGAACTCCCCATGAACCATGAGGTAAGCCAGGCACATACGCTCCCCCCAACTTTCTAATTTATTAGAGAACATATTAACAGTATCATAAAGGCAAGTTTGACAAACAATAAAAACATACATCTGGGATAATGTAATGCAGTAACACCAATTAGATTAGGGCATCTATTAGGGTTAGGTCATAAAAATATTTATTTGAGGACTGTGTTAAATCCATAATTAAATATATCTAATGAATATGGCAGAACCATATTCGAGAATAATGTAAAGCCAAATGCAGTGACCAGATAAGAATAACATCAATAAAAACAATAAAACCAGAAAACTGCCCACAAACAACTTTAACCTGCTTCACAAATGTGGGCTTTAGGGAAGATTAATAAGAAAATAACCAGTGCTGAGGGAAAAAAAACATCTCATTTGGAATTGGCCGAAAAGTATAAGAGGCACAACAAACATGTGAAGAATTGCCTACTCAAATGAGACCAAAACTGAACTTTTTGGTCTTGGCATAAAAGTAGATGTAACAGAGGGTCTACATTGAAGTAGTATTCGCCTAAATTACCAAATGCTGAAGTTCGAAAAGATATGGGAACCCTGGGTGAAACACTTCTTCCCGCCGACCTTTGATGCCAGCTTACTGACCCTTTAACACCCTTAAAAAACACTAATTCTCCAACTTTTTCCTTCTATTAAGTTTTTGCTTCTAACATCTCTGTCAGGACCCCCGATAGAATGGATTCTTGCCTTTTTTTAATCATAGATTAGGCGATCGCTATAGATTGCCATGTTTGATGAGCATATTTTTTGTTATACACCAATGTCTATGCTTGAACCGTTATCCACACATGCACACTTTGTTTTAAGTGCGTGCACTAAATGCTTTGTACTTGTGAAAAAATAAAAATCCTTTGAAACTAAAAAAAAAAAAGTAGTATTAAGGTCTGGGTGTTTTTTACCTTAATGCATTCTCTACATTAGGGTAAAAACTGCCCAGAACCTTTTTCTCCCCCAGTCCCCCGCAGTCACCCTCCGTCACCCCCCACACTTACCTGTGAGCGACGCTCGTCCCTGCTGCCGGTGCCGAAGTGATCCTCCATTCCCTGTACTTCCGGGTTGCAGGGGGAGGATACTGATGGCAGAAGAGCCATAGGCTCCTTCTGTCATCAATTAAAGAGGAAAGGGGAGTTGCCTGCCACAGGGCTGTGTGTGTCTATGGACGCACACAGCCACTGCGGTCACGAGCGTGCATGGGTGCCTCTATTAGAACTCGTCGAGAGGTTGGGGGGAAGAACACTGCTGTCAGGTGCTGCCGCAGGCTAACAGCATAGGGAGGAACCCACTGGCAGGAAGCGGGCAAGAAGATCCGAGAGCGAGGTACAAGAGAGCAAATCCATAGGGGGTAATCAAAGTCCAATCCGGGTCGAGGGTTCAAAAGCGGTAGGCAGGCCAAGGGGTTGGTAACCAGGCAGTTCAGGCAGTTCAGATGAGGGGTCAGGGAGTAATAGCAAGATCCAACAAAGGGGCTAAGCGATCGCACCATAGAGGTGGAATAACTCAGCAACAAGCCAGGGCTCGACCAGGATTATATAGCCAGTGGGAGTAAGACCACCCCCTGGTCCGGGAGCCAATGGCAGAGAGAGATGGAAGGTCCGTGCTGGGAACCTCCCCCAGCAAGGCCCACACCTGACGGTCCTAATGGGCAAAGGCGTGTTTCACGCCCTGTGCACGCGTGCACAGTCTGTCCACCACGCGCGCGCACCCAGGGTGCATTTCACGCATGCGCACCTGCAACCCTGGCGCCAGGCGTTCTGCCAGGCTGAAGGAGCCCCCGTGCCCTAAACCGTACCCGTCAGCCCCGAGGAGAGGTGACACCCCTGGTTCCCTGACAGCTCTTATGACCAAACCCATAAACTTCATTATTCTGCGGCTACTTGCAAACTCCTGGCAACTTCCTGTCTTAGTGTTGATGCAAATCCAGTTCACTATATAATCATCAGTCTTTTCACTTGGTCTCCACCCTTGCAATTGTTCAGACCTACCAAATGCTCTCTGCTAGATCCTGTGCTCTGTGTATGATCCTGGCTCTGTTTACTGATCTCTTGGCTCAAGACCTGGCTATTGTACTTGTGCATCCTGCTCCCTGGGTTGGAGACCTGGCTCAGCTGACTACACACTTGGGCTTCTGACCTTTGGCTCGGCTCTGACTACAACTTGGATTTCCCTATTGTTTTGCTATTTTATCTATTGTTGCTTTCAATAAACGCTCTTATTTTTTTATACTGCAGTTTTAATTTACATTTGATTTATTGGTTCTCTGACATGGTGGTGGCATCATAATACTGCAGGAAAGCTTTTATGAACAGTGACTGGAAGCTAGTCAGAACCAAAGGCATAATAGGCACCTCCACATGTAAGATACTTGAGACCTGAGACTGGGGAAGAGGTTCACCTTCCAGCGGGGCAATGATTCTAAACATGCAGCCAAAACTAGACTTGTGCGCCGTTCCGTTTTGGAATATCTGTTATTTCGTATTTCAATTCGGATTTAGGATGCTTCCTAATTTACGAATTTCAGGAAAATTTGTACGAATTTCGATTCGTAACGAAATGAATCGCACATGTCTAGCCAAAACTGAAATATATTGTTTACTACTAATGGCCCAGTAAAAGTGCATGTGTACTGTAAATCCAGTTGGGAATCTGTGGCAAGACTTGCTGCTTACCAATAATCCACATGCAACCTGACAAAGCGAAAGCAATAAGTTCCCTGTGCTTAGGTTCCCTTAGGTGCATAGGTCTGCAAATTGATATTGCACAATTATGACAATTAGAGGGACACCCCAAGGTGAATGGAGTCATCCAAAACTCTGAGATTGATGGAAAAAGAGCATGTGTGGAGCAAGTGAATAGAGATGCTGAAAAAAATAAGCCATGAGTTTACTACTTGCAGTATCATTAATATTATTGATCTCAGCATTGGAAAGTTAAATATTTATTAAATAAGCACAGCAATGCATGGTAATACAGACATTGATATTGAAAAAAATAATACCATGAGACCATCACAAAGAAATGGGGATGTCACGATCTGGGATCAGGCTCAGAGTCCAGTAGCTGAAACAGCTGGCAAATTTGTGGTATAACTGGCCGAGTTCGGTACACAAGCAGACGGTAGTAGTATAGGAGCAGGCAGAAGCGTAGTCAGAGAACAAGCCGAGGTCATTAGCCAAAGGTATCGGGTATGCAGCAGAAGACGAGGAGAGTAGTCAGTGAATCATCAGCCAAAGGTTGGTACATGGGTAGCAGTATGAGAGGATTGTAGCACAGAGGGAGCAGGAAGCAAGATATTGGCAGGAGCACAATAATCTGGCAAACAGGAAGTGCAGAGGCATGGCTTAAATAGGAAGTTCAAGGGAGGAGCAAGGAGTTCAGAGTTCAGCAGAAACTAGGTTTACCTGAGGATTACACATGAGAGCAAGCAAGGAGCTATCCAAGGTTTCAGAGTGGCTCAGCAGGTAGAACCACCACCAGACACAGCAGAGGCCCTGGGTTAAGATCTGGATCCTGATAGGGGAACTTAAAATACAGTCAGTTAAAGTATTGCTTAAATTCGTATATGGAATATACTGTGTTGAAAAGATGGTTTTCACTCCATGTCATTTTTTTGTTCCTATTTTCTTCTCAGAAAGTGTTCATCTCAATCTGTTTTTCCTCATTATATACTCTTTAGAGTTTAGATTAGGTCTAAATAATATGATAAAGCATTTTGGCAAAAACATACAGATCAGCATGGCCCAGCTGGAGGCCAGGATAGCAAAGATTTCCATAGTTACAGTATATTTGCCCTGAGCACTGAGGGATGCTGGGATATAAGAGACCCAGACACTGAGGAAGGCCAGCATGCTGAAGGTAATGAACTGGGCCTCATTGAAGCTGTCAGGAAGTCTTCGAGCCAGAAAGGCCACAATGAAACTAATAGTGGCCAGGAGAAAAAGATAACCCAACATGGCCCAGAAGGCAATGGGAGAACCCTCGTTACATTCAACAATGATGACTACAGATTGAATATGTGTGCTGTATTGCGGGAATGGAGGTACAAGAGACAACCAGGTTATGCACAAGATAAATTGTAACAAAAATCCAATCAAAATGATCATGTAGGATACACGTGGAGTGGTCCATTTCTTAAAACTGCAGCCAGGTTTGGTGGCCATAAAAACAAGGACCACCATGATAGTTTTAGCCAAAACGCAGGAGATGCATATAGCGAAAACCATGCCAAAGGTAGCCTGTCGAAGGAGACATTTTTCAGGTTGGGGATAACCAATGAATGCCAAAGAGGTTAGAAAACAGAAGGTAAGGGAAACCAGAAGAAGAATACTTAAGTGATAATTGTTGGCTTTAACTACCGGGCTGGCTTTATGTTTAATGAAAAGTTTGGAAATAACATTAGGGACTAAAGAGGATATGGCACTGATAACCATCAGACTTGTTCCCAATGGGTCATCGTAGGAGAGGTATTCTTTGTTTTTTGGCAGACACTTCGATTTCTGGCTGTTTGGCCACTGGTCCCATGGGCATCTGGAGCAATCAATAGAGTCTAAAATAAAAAAGAGAGATTGGGATTATTGATAGTTTACTTACACCTACTAATACACTGAATCCCAAGAAGAGTTGTTTGCTCCGCCTGAGTTCTCCACTGCTGAACTAGAGAACTCCACCCCTCTGTATCTCCATAACATAAAGTCCAGCAGGGGATATTTGGGCAGGGCTGACAACATCCTGATCTGGAGAGATGAAGATAACATTACAATTATTCCAAGGAACTCGGAGTAGGAAGTTTGTCTCTTGTCATCTTTTACTTTTCTTTAGTTTTCAACAGCGTAGCAAATGCTTATTAGGAAAATTGTTCTCTGTGTGTTCCTTAATGGCAATTACATTCAATTCCTGTCCAGCAGACACAACTAGAAGTGAGAGAACATCTCTTCAAAGTGAGGATGAATCTCCTTCTGGACTTTTGTCACTGGAGCAGGTGTCCCCATTGGATGATGTTCCTCACCTTCTGTTTCACTGCCAGCAGTGACGAATTGACATAGGGGCCACTAAAGTGCCAGCTCCAGGCCCACCACTGACAATAAGCCCAGCTGGCCTAGGATTGCCTCGGTATGCCAATTGCTATCTGGGCCGGCCGGGCTGAACACAGTCAGGCAGAGGCACTAGCGGCTCCCTACCCCTATCAAGCATATTAGGCAGCCACTCGCTGGAGCCTCATGGGTCCCCAGTGATCAGCTGCCTGACTAGAGAGCCACCTCTGCTGCTTCCTGTCTGTTAACAACTTTTACATTGCTCCCCAACTGTGCTTGAGCTGAAACACTAGGCTAGACAGAGTCTGGAGTGTTATGTGAATATACGAAACACTGATGTTTTTGCTGATAAGGTATTAGGACAGTAGGGGTAAGGGATGGGGGTGGCAGTGACAGACATAGTACTCTGGATTTTTAATATTTCACATCTACATTAGCCCTAGTAGAAGGAACTGCAGGATAATATCTGAGTTATATAATTACTCTATTAAAAAGTTCAATTTCTAACATCTTCAGCACTTGCTCTCCAGAAGGAGCAGGTATTTGGGCAGTCAACTTACTGGTTTTATTGGCGATCTCTCCAAGAGGACAAGGTACACACTCAAAACAACATATAGGCTCTCCTTGTCTGGCTGCTTTCCAGAACCCTGGAGGACAACTTTCGCTGCATATTGAGAGAGGGACCTGAGGAAATTTTCAATTGATGCATTTAGTATGTTGTTTATGCACTTCTGATCACCTATATATTTAGTCATTGCTTCCTGAAAGTGAGTTTGGTGCTGGTAGTTTTTAACCTTGGACTGTTAGATGATGGCACAGAGGATCAAGGCACAGAAGGTATATATCGGCAACAAGGGGTTAGTTTAATCCTAAGGAAGGGTTGTGTTAGGAATGGAGTTAGAGTGGGGGAGGTGGATGGGAATATATTTCATCTTCTGTGTTGAACCCTGTGTCAACAGCTACCAGTGCATGGCTCTTGGACAAACAACATATTGCCCAAAATGATATCACTGGTGTTCAGCATTCCATATGTCAAAAACTCCAAAAGGTAACTAACTGATTGTCACAAAGTCCCAACATCATCAGCTGCTTAAGGACTAGATTGGGTATCAACTTCACAACATACTGTGAACTCTTGAGTGTTCACAGTTTGTATAAACCATGACACTGCATGTAATGGACTTTGGAATACTGTGACAGATACAATATACGCCATATACGATAGTGATAGAGTTTTTAACTGATTTTATACTAATGTTACTGAAATACTTCACAAGGCTAGTGCACTTTAGTGTGTGTTAATTTTTAAATGAAATGTTCGCTTCATAAGGAAGATACTATACATACAGTACATGTTTACCCCTTTGGGGGTATGCATAATTGAAATCTGCCATTGGCTGACCTTAAAGGGACAACGAAAATCTCTAGCCATCAGATGCCACCAATTGAGCACTAAGTTATAAATGTAAGCGTAAAATTGTCTAAGCTAAGGTGGAGGAGTCACACTGGTGAACGTATACTTGTTTCTTTCCAAATTTAAGATATAGTTTACATAATCTTACTTGATTATCTTTAGAGGCCCAAAACAGCAGGCTTGAGTTGATGGTGAGTACTTGGACGGGAGCCGCGGCATAACTGCCAATCTTAACCTGCCGCATGGCCCCTTCTGGGCTCAGCTGCCAGTTTACAATGTCATAGATTGCAGGTGGTTCTCCATTATCATCAAAATAAAATTCATTCCCATTACTCAGGCTCACACGGGCTTTCTTCAGGTAATGTAGGAGCTATGAGATTGAGAAAGAGAAGGTTGTTTTGCCAAAATCAATGAGTATCAAAAGAGGTAAGTTCACTGCAAAGTTAGGCATCTAATATTGGGTATTGTATTAGAGGGTATTCTGCTTTCTGTGTTTTGTGTTTCAATGAAGAAAATGTCCATTCATTCCCTGTCCCAGGGGCACAACAGGATGTTGATAGGGATGGCAGTATTCCAATAGCAGGTATTACCATTGGAAAATTTCCTCTTACTTTATATTGTGATGACAATTTTAAAATTCTGCATGTTCCACCACTTTCTAGCTCAGTGACAATGGCCACCAGGACTAATAGGGAAAGTGAATGTCCCGAACATGAACAAATGCAGCAAAAAAATTCTGATAGAGGTTCTAACCCATCCACAAACATAATGGCTTTAGATACTCTTTAAAATCAATTTATTTTGGACATGAGGTATGGTAGGGTTAATTCTGCAACCACCTACTGAGTCATTTACATTCAGCAAGTTTTGCATGAACAAACCACATATCATATTTATCCTTACATGCCCCTATTTATTGGCTTTAAGGGTGCTGAAATGTTGGGTCTCCTGCTGCTTATAATTATTCACCCGCCTGTCTCCCACCACTCAAGAATAAGCCACAAGCCCAACAGGTGAGAGATCAGAGAGGGAAAAGGACTCTCTAGGGTATTGTGACTGACTGCCTAAATCCCCACTGGTCCATCAAAGGATGAAGGGGAGAGCATGACAACTGGAACATCACTGGTGTCCCGTCCAAGGTCCGGTCCCTTGGGCTGGACACCAGTAGGGGCAGACCTTGGTCAGGACACCAATGATGTGGTACAAGCTTCAGTAAACTATTCCAGCAGAATCCAGTGTGTGGCCAGTTATTCTTCTGTTTGTGGTGAATGGGGTCATTTAAGTTTACCTGTTGGACAAAGCATAGGATAAATAGGCATTATCACTTTGCCCATTCAAGGCAGAATGACAGTGTCTATGGAAGGAGCAGGGGCATCCCGAGGCCAGGGGTCCCCCGTTGTGTCGTCATCGCACGTGTGCGTGATGTCACCTCGCACATGCGGCGATGACATCATCGCGCACCCGCAGCCATCTTGCTGATGGACGCCGGCAGAGAGAGGAGGGGGCATTCACCCGGCGGGATGAGGTATGCCGTCCGGTCCCCTCCTAACACTGTCGGGCTCTCGGTCCATGACCGAGTGCCCAACTTTTTAGAGAGGGGTGACACCGAAATGACTGTCAGTCATTTTGGTGTCACCCCTGCAATGGTGACATCTGGGTGCAAGCCGCACCCCCCTTGTGATGCCACTGGCAAGGAGCCCTCCAAAATCACAGATACCCAACTTGCTTGCCCACCTCTGCCACTCCTTCTGCTGCAGCCAACAAGAATACCCAGTGCTTCCAGATATGGGGGAACATGTGACCTACCTACATTATGGCAATCAATTGCTAGGCCTGAGCACTGTCACATAATGCATGCAAATACAGCTGACGATGGGGATAATACTTTGAACTATTAAAGAATAGCGGCAGCCCGGGAAAGGTAAGTATAAATGGATGGGTGGGGGTTTTGCACGCACTGTTAATTTACCCTGAATGGACAAGGTGACTGTGTCTATTTAACTATCTTTATAGTAACTATCATGCTATTCCCAAAGCACGTGAACACTCTTGTATCCTTATTTATTGAATTGTTTTATTGACATCATTTAGGCTCTCGTTGCATGACATTCTAAAGATTTGGAAACAATTAACTTTTTTTTTTTTCACATAGCTATGTATATACAGTATATTGTATTATTTATAATAAAAGCTGTTTAACATTGTTTCAGAACATACATTATTTGGCCAAAAGTATGGAGACTTATATTACAAATTATTTGAGGTGCAAAAAGCCAGCTCCATAAAGACATGGTTTGGGGAGTTTGGGTGGGAGGAACTTAAGTGGCCTGTAAAGAGAGCCCTGACTTCAACCCTACTGAATATCTTAAAAATTAATTGGCACATAGATTGTGAGCCAGGTCGTCTCTTCTGAAGGCTTTTATAGCTAAAGATGGTAGACCAACTCCATATTAATACCTATTGCTTTGAAATAAGATATCCAACAAACACATATAGGTGTGATGGTCAGTTGTTCATGAACCTTTGGCCACTTAGTTCAAGCTCCTTGAAGAAGATTTATGTTTTATATTACCTGCCAAGGTTTGAAATGGTAGATGTTTGCACAGCGATTTAATGACAATGTCCCTTTCTGCAAATTGCAATTTTTTAAATCTTCCAGAGCCTTGGCCACAACATGGACTGCTGTGTAGACATTGTATGTGGTCCTTAAATTGGAAACATCAGTAAAACTGTTGTGGATATTTTCTAAACTCTCCGCTCCTGTGCACTCTCTAAATGCTGAGTCCAAAATATCTGTGGCATTTCTATTTGTATTAAATTTGCAGTCTAAGGCTTCCTCCCAAAATGTTTGTATCCAGTCACGTCCCAAGGACATGGATGGATGGATAGCATGCAAAAACGTTTTAAGTCCTGGAATGTTTCCACTGTAGAATGCAAGGCCAATAGTGCCGGCCAAGAGCTTTGAGTATTTTTCAATGGAATGTATACTTGTTGTAGACCAAGCTTCACTAGCCACAAATGTTATATCCGTAACATTCTGCCTCAGCATTTCTTCTAGGATAGCAAAGAGTTCAATGTCCGTGGAGAATGCAACAATGACCTTAACTGTTGATGCTCGGATGACCTTGACTATGTGTTGCGCGTTGCGATCTTGATCATTCATAATGATGTTCTCGGTGAAGGCCACACATGCTCCAGCCTTTAGTAACTCTTGTCTGACCAATTGGATTCCTTGCTGACCATAATCACTATCTGCAGCCAGCAGTCCGACCCAGGTCCAACCAAAATGCAGCACCAGTTTTGCCAGTCCAAGAGATTGGAAGGCATCACTTGGAACAGTCCTGAAGAAGGATGGGAATTTTCTGCGATCACCGAGTAGATAGCTTGTGGAAAAATGACTAATCTGTTATGAGTAAAAATGACATCTGTATATAAAAAGTGCAATGTCTTTGTTTGAAGGCAAAATAGTCTAGACTAGTCAAGTGTATTTTATATAATTTTAAAGTTCTAGGTAGAGATGTTCAGACACCAAGAACCGTACTCTGTACAAGTACAATTACAGATACTTGTCCAGCTCCAAGACTAAACTAGAGAAAAACTCAAAAGTTAGGAGTCAGCTGTAATTTTTAACCACCTACCGTCCATGGCCATTGCTGAACGGCGGGACGGGAGTCTTGTAGGAGCGAGAGGGTGTCTTAAGACGTCCTGCCCCTTCCCCCGCTCATGTGCAGCGCTCAGCATGTTAGCAATGTAAACAGCCAGCAATAGCTGTTTACATTCAAGCCATCAGGAGTCTCTAGAAATGCCCGATCGCTTGCACATTTTCGATGTCTATTTACCCGACGTGATCCCGTCTTTCATATTTTACCAAAAAATTGGGGTGATAATAAATATTTCATAACATTTCATAGGGAAACAGGTTTTTATACAAAATGTAAGGTACTTTTTTTGTTATATAGTAAAAAATAAAAAAACCCCAGTAGTGGTTAAATACCACCAAAGGAAAGCTCTATCTGTCCTCAAAAAATGGTATGAAATTAATTTCAGTACAGCGTTGCATGACGGAATAAATGTCAGTCAAAGTACCTCAGCGCTGAATACTGAAAAATGGCCGGGGCAGGAAGGGGGTGCAAGTCAGCAAGTGGTTAAGGAGCATACAGAGCTCCTGGGATTTGTGCATACCTGTTTTAATGTATGATTTGTATTAAATATATATTCTGTATATTAGGAATGCACCGATACCATTTTTTCCAGACCAAGTACTAAGGTCTCTGATTTGTCCCCCCC